GCACTGTTAGGCAGAATATTTTTAATTTTCTTGTCAATAGTGAAACTTTGATGTTGTTGCTCTTACGGAGTAGGACTGTCTCTGTCAGACGTACGTGGGGCTCCATTCATTAACCTTTAGGGAGTTCCCCATGCTGGTCCCTTCCTCTTCCATCACCTCTGCAAACCCTGAGACACTAGATGTGTACAGTCCTGGATGTGAGCAGTGTGGCTTCTGAAAGAGATCAGAGTGCTTGAGTGAACAAAGTATTTTTCCATATTGAGCTGTGGCACCATCATAAAAATGCTGCAAAGCTCTGTCTCTGTCTCTGTCTGCCTCCCTCCCTCTCCACCCACCTCTCCCTCTTTTCATCAAGATGAAGACTATTGGGTAAGAAAAACTTACTTGTTAAAGTGGTTTAACAAGAACATTATGATTTTAAGCTTAGAAGTAAACCTAGAATTTTCTTGGTGTCCTTTTATTGTAGGTGTTCAATGTATATTTTAATGATTGTAGAACTTGAACTGCTCTAGAATGTGAATGACTAGCTTTGTGTATTATTCCTTTTGACTTGTGTAAAGGATCTCCTATGAGGAGTTCTCAATTTAGATTTTAATATTGTGTGGTTACTTCCCTGACTTTACTGAAAAAATATTAAAGTACTTAGTATGGCAGTATCTAACTTGACCTGTAAGTATTAAATATCTTATACATTTAGTGCAGGTACCGTAACCAAAAGATATTTCTTATTTTGGTGGTTTGAGAGGTAGCTTTCTGCTGTATATTATGGCAGTTACAGATTTGATCATAACTGAACCAGAATTTGGATCATAGAAGTGCACTTCCTAGCTATTTTTTATTTAGGTGTAAGAAAACACAGTGAGAACCTTATGGGTAGAATGTAGCAGTTACAACAGAGGGTAACTACACTGCGAGACTTAAGAAGTTTGAGCATGTGACACTATCCTTTTGTTGGGGAGCAGGGTATAAAGATATACAGGAGATATAGAATAGTTAACAGTAAAGTTTTATATGTATGTTTTAACTTCCATATTTATTATTTTGTAGAGATGTTTGTGATTGTTTAGTTATTGTTTTTATTATATTTATGTATAAGGTTGACTTTTTTTAAATAAATAAGCCAAAAATTATTTTTGAATGCCTCTGTCATCTTTTGTAAAGAAAGATAATTTTTAAAAAAAAACCTAAAGAATTAAGAACATATTGTTTAGGCTGTGCAGGTTTTGAAGGTGGCAGCAAGACATTTCAAAGCTGGAGTAACAGTATGCAAAATTGGAGTTCTGTTTAGGCTCCTCCTTGGTTCAGAAACTTAGGGAATGGAAATATGAGGTGTTGTTTGACTGGGCTGTAATAAAACAGACACAATGTCTCTACCTAAAATGCTTTCTCTCCCAGTTTTTATATAAATGGGTGCGTGCGTGAGTGAGCCAGTGAACACGCCCTCGCCGTCCATTTCATCCTGACCCTGCTTGGCTCTTCTGGCACTGCTCCATGCTCGGGTCGCGGGAGCATCCCGGTATCATGCTCAAGGCTATGATGCTGTTCCATTCCCCTCCCCTCCCCTCCCCTCCCCCCAAAGCTTAGGTGCTATGAGCCTTTGTTCTTTCCCACGTTTTGCCAAGTGTTCTTTAAAGCCCAAATGCCTTCATTGGATTGTTTGTGTTTTTCATCTGAAAAATGAACGGTACTTGAAACATAGGGGGTGTCTGCATATTTTTAAAGTGATCATTTTATATTTTGCACATCTGAGAACTACTTCTTTTTTATGTTTTATAAAGTCATAGAGTACTTTTTCTCTTAAGCATAGGCTCCTCTATTAATGTATGAGATATGCAGAGGGAACAAGTTACACAACTCGGCGGATTCCCACAAACCTTTCTGCACACGACAATGTATGCCTGAAACCTCTTTCAGTTAACAATGTTAAAAAACTGATTTTGTAACTTAGAGTTTATAGATGTAGTCTCACAACTTTGGAGAACATCAGCTTTTAAACAAAATCAGCATATAAGCTGCTCACAATGGAGCCTTCTGTTTGGGAATAAGCCTAACTCCCTTGTAGTAGTCTCTTGGTACTTGCATTTTTCTTTCAGTTAACAGTGCAGTTTTACAGTGTAATAGTCTTCCCTCCAGGTCATTTGTACAGATCTTACTGATATGTAGGAAGTGTGGAATGATATATCTAATCCTAACATGAGATCATACCTTTGACAAAATTTAAAAATGAAGTCTAAGGCTTTATAGTTGGTAGGCCATTGTATGTTGAAGGCAGATTGGTGTCAGGTGTCTTTCAAGGTCCTCATTAGCAAGTTAGGTCCTCATTAACAAGTTACTGGAAGTAAAATAAGGCAATACAGTAATAATTCCTTTTGAACCCACAGTAGGTTCTCCTGGCATGAATTTATAGCCCTCTTCTACCCTTCCAGCCAAAGGTCATTCCCAATGCTCTATGTGGAATTTGTCTGAAGGGTAAGGAGTCCAACAAGAGAGGGAAGGCTGAGCCACTTGTACACTGCTCCCAGTGCGACAACAGTGGTAAGTACTGGCTCGGCTTCACATTTTAAGCTCTGATCGCTGCTTTGCAAACTAGGGTCCTTAGTTGTCAGCTAGGCTTGACCCAGTCATCAGATACATAAACAGTCCCTGTATTTTCTTCTACATTGTTTCCATTTCTCTGGCAGTTAAAACGTTGTAGCCATTCTTGAGCAGTTCAAGTGAGTGTTTACTGTGCCATGTTAAGTTAAAAATCTTTGTGTGAAATACAACTAATACTGGTTTTGGTTTAGGCCATCCTTCTTGCCTGGATATGACCATGGAGCTTGTTTCTATGATTAAGACCTACCCATGGCAGTGTATGGAGTGTAAGACTTGCATTATATGTGGACAACCCCACCATGAAGAAGAAATGATGTTCTGTGATGTGTGTGACAGAGGTTATCATACTTTTTGTGTGGGCCTTGGTGCTATCCCATCAGGTAAAGATTGAAAAAGAAAGAACATTACCTTTGAGTGAAGGGGCTCTTCCAGCACTTCTTTTTTTGAAGGCTACATGAATACCATAATGACTTGAAGGGCCTGGAGACCCTTCCATTCATGAGAAGTGACCAAAGCTATGGTCATGTCTACCTGTTTTTCATCTCTAGACAAGCTGACTAAAGGACAAGTGAGATATCAGATTGCCTGTAAGTTTTGGAAGTAGAGCTCAGTGTGTGCAGATGAGCTAGTGTTGTTCTACTGAAACAGCTAAGGCAGTAGCATTGATTTGTTTCAAAGCCTTGATTTTATTTTTATATGTCATTTAGAAATTTAACAAAATGACTTATATGCCTTTATACATATTAAACCAGATTTTTATAAATTGAGGCAACATAATTCAGATAACTTCAGAATGAACACAGAATCAAAGAATAAATCACAGTAATTTGACTAAAACATTATCCACATAATTGTGTAATTTCAGAACTGATTTGCATAGTTAACACTGTCTGATACTTTATAAAATATATGCCTAGGTTTCCTGGGAATCATTGAGATGTAAGCAACAAATAATTATTTAGAATTCTATAGTATTCAGGTCAAGTATGTGGTATAGTTTATCATAATGCTATCAAATACTTGATACATTTTAAAGTGCTATGTGAGCATAGTACATCAGGGCTTGAGGGGATGCTGAGACGCCTAAAAAGAAGCCAAAGTCAGTTAATAGGTTTTATATAAGGATTTGTATGATTGAACTTGTAGTATTTGAATTTCAGAAAGGATTATAATTTTTTCAAGGGGCCTGTCTTTATTTAGCTCTTCCAGGACCCCTTCCCTCCCCCTGTTCATTTCACAGGGCATTTACGACACTGATGACCTTAAGGGAAGTTAGTGCCTGTGCCACCAGAAATCCAGTTGAGGATTATCAGTAGCCTTAGCTAAGGGAGGAGAGCTAAATGGTTTTAAAACTCAGTCCTTGAAAGTTAAGTCTCATCCTGTATTAACTAACAATTTTTCTCCTAGGTCGCTGGATTTGTGACTGTTGTCAGCGAGCACCCCCAACACCCAGGAAAGTGGGCAGAAGGGGGAAAAACAGCAAAGAGGGATAGTTTTTTTGACCCCAGTACTGTAATATGCATTTAAATGAAGTATTTGGTGCCATTTATTTACAACATTCTCATTTTTATGCCAATAAAAGATTTTGAAATTACTTGCTTAAAATCTGCAAATTTATTTATAAGCCACTCTCACTGTGGAAACCAAGTAGAAAAATAGTTCCATCTTGCAAAGTCTTTATTTCTTAGTACTTTGGCTTTCTCCAGAAATTCAGTGGTAACATTATGCAGCTTAAATTATTCCATTAACCTAAAATTTACTATTATTTTAATGAAATTTTCCTAATCTGTATCCTTTCTGGTCTACCACGGGTAGCAGAGCAGTTATTTAATAACGAAAGAATCTCCATAGGGGCCCAAGGTGATAAAACTACCACCTGAGGAGATCTGGCGCAGCTGAGTTAAGAACCATCATTAACGGGCATGGGGACACCACCCGCCTACCAGGAAATCCTGTTGGACAGCAGGTGCTGTCTCTACTTCGGGTGTAGACAGGGGACTTTAGTTCACGGTCAGGCAAGTGTGGAGAGATGATTACATTTCAGACTTGCTTTTAGTAATTCTTTAAAACTAACACACTAATTTATTTGAGTCTCTAGAGTAAAAACCTAAGTCACTGCAATCATCTAGCCACCTGACAAACTAATCAAAGTGGGGTTTAAACATTTTATTGTGCATATTCCTTTTACAGGAATTTTGATGCTTTATTAAAAAGAAAACATATCGTGCTTGCTGCTTTGCGTACTTTTGGGGTGACTGAGGTAACTAAACTGTATGGCTTTATTCTTTCATCCCCCACCCAGAAAAGGTAGCCAGAATGCCAACCAGGTCAGAGTAGCTAGGTTCACAGCGAAGTGCACTCAGCTTCGCAGATTACAAGTATTATACTCGAGTATGTTAAGCGAGTCAAAAAAGAATCTCAAGTACCAACTTCAAAATACTAATTAATATCGTCCAGAGCACAGACTCCTCTTCTTGAGACGCGTCTTCCGGGGCATAGGCGTGCTTGCGACTCGCATCAGTACCGTCCGAGTAGGCGGTCTCACCGAATGGATGCGGCTCGAGCGTCGCGTCGTAGTAGACCTTCATCTCGAACTCGCTCTCGAGGTGGGACGGGTGCCCGTAGACACCGATGCCCACCGGGCGCCGGAAGTGCGCGGGGATGGAGACGGCGTCGGCGCCGCACGTGGCCGACTGCAGCTCGTACTCGTCGAAGCTGGGGTGCAGGGTGCTGTCGGACACGTACAGGTCCGCGTCGCCCCGCAGGCTGCGCATCCTGAGGACGATCTTCCCCTCGTGGTTTAACCTCAGGTAGCTGTAGTTCCCGGCTCCTACCTGACCCTGCACAACGTGCAGGAGGACCCAGCCCTCGGGCACCTCCTCCTCGTCCGAGGCCTGCGCCGAGGAGACGGCCTGCAACGCCAGGAGAAGCAGAAGCGCGCCCTTCCACGGAGCGGCCATGGCGGGGGCCCCAGGCGGGGCCCGTGCTCATCCGCGAGCGTCCTGCAGACAGACCACGGGGGCCGCTGAGCGCGTCCCGGCCGCCTCGAGGGGGGTCGCGGGGGCGGGAGGGGCAGAGGAGGGGAGTGCGCCGCGGTCGCACAGAGCGGGCGGCGGGGGTGGGTGTCCGCCCCGGGACTCACCTCCTCTCCCCGCAGGCACCGCGCCGGGAGCCTCCGGGCCGGGAGTCCGCGCCGGAGGAGCCGGAAGGGAGGCGCGCCCGGAAGTGAGGCTTTCGGAGGAGGGCGGTGCCCGGAAGTTGACCGGCGCTCGGAAGTGAGGAAGGCTAGAACTTGACCTGCGCCCGGAAGTGAGGCAGAGGCCGGATAGGGGTAGTGCGTTGACTCTGGATTATCGCGAGAATGGCGAAGGGGTGAGGACGCAGCCTAGGGTTCGTAACCATGACGACGGGGGCGGGGCGCTCGCCCTAAACTGCCTGGTGGTCAGCAGGATTGTGAGTACACTTGGCCACTTGGCTGACTCAGGGATAGGTTTGAGGGGCCCCAGGTGAGACGCAGGTGCGCCCGTTACCTGTTCTCTCTTAAAAGCGTGTTACTTCATGAACTACTCCTAAGAGAGGCTTTAAAATGCTGTTTTGTTTATATTCAGGATTTATTTTGTTAACTTGGGGTATGGTGTTAATGGGCGCCTATTGGCCACTGAAAAATACTTTCCCAAGAAAGATTATGTTCATTTTAGTATCATACTTTTGTGTTGATCCCAGTCCCCGTGTTTCATTTTAGAACGTGTTGAGTCACTTTTGTGGAAACAGGTGCAGTGTAAATATTAAAAGCAGGCAGTACTCTTGTGCCCTTTTTTGTAGAACCCGAACTCTGCCAAGTAGCTACACGGTGTGGGTTGGTCACGTTGCTGAGGAGGCTGTCATGTGTTGGGTTAAAAAAATGTGTCTGTTGCCGCTTTGAAGTGTTACATCTATGTCACCTATAGGCGTGTAAAAGAGGCTTGAGAGACTTAAGACTGATTATCTGAGGGGAGCGGCGTTGATTTGCGTGAAGTTAGGGCAAGTTGCATCCAAGTGGGGAGTCACTGGTTTGGGTTGATGACGGAGGTAGCACTTGTGAACCTCCACACCTCCTCCTGCAAGAAGTATCTGGTACCTGTGACATTCCGCTCAACCTGGGCCATTTCCAAGTTTAACATTTTCCGGTCAAGAAAGCATATGAGATTGGAATACAGGGGAGTGTATAGAGATACCTCGAGATGCATCAAGAAATGACTTTAAAACTTAAGCATCATTACTGTTATTGGTAGTCAGTGGTTTGTGCTTGCCTAACAAGTGAGAGGAGAAATGGCAACCCACTCCAGTACTCTTGCCTGGAGAATCCCAGGGACAGGGGAGCCTGGTGAGCTGCCATCTATGGGGTCGCACAGATTCGGACACGACTGAAGCGACTTAGCAGCAGTAGCAGCAGCAACAAGTCATGGTATGGACTGAAAAAAATGCACAACCTAAAAGCTGAGATTATGTTATATTCTGAGGACTTCAAGCCTGGAACACAGCATCTCAGATGGCTCTGAGAGGCTTTGGAGAGGCAAGGGGGGAGCCAGGATATATATAGGAGATTTTGTAACAAAGACCTGGTAGTCGGAACATCAAAAGATTACTGTTAATTAAAACCAGGGGTTTCGAAGAGTTGGACATAACTGGACGACTGATTAACAACAACAAAGAAAACCAGTTATCTCCATTCAAGGAATCTAGCACTTTTCTATGTATGAGAAGATGCAAGAATCTGGGCTTATTGAAATCATTCCTTTAGTATGCACCTCAGCTGTCTCAGACCAGTATCCTGTGCTTTCTCCTCCTGAATCTCCTCAGGGTGCCCCGATGGGAGGTTGTGATGTGATGGCTTGATGGCGACAGAGTCCTTAGTTTACTGATATGGCAGCAACATTTTTTGTTCTCTTTCATTTTGTGGCATAAAAGTACAAAATTTGTGTTTTAAGAACCAATGGTTTGTAAAATCAGGCTTCTCTCAGCTGGGACAATAGAAAGAAGATATCTTTTTTTTTTTTCATTAAAGCAGCTAAGTATAACCTTTTAAGTTTATTAACTTAGGAAAGGACTTAAAGACACAGGGAGGCCAGAGTATAATTTGGTGCTTTCATACCTTTATGAACCATTACTTCATCTTATACTAGTTCTGTTCTCCATGGACCTAGAATTAGAACCTGTCTCCTATTCTGATGAATGCAGAGAACTTTATATTTTCTTTAGCTACTAAGCAAGCCATCAAGGGTTTGTTAATTATGGTGCCATATATCATTTTACTGTGGGCACTCAACCTAGTGTCTGATTACCACACTGTATTTTCCAAACTCAAGAATAAATTGGCACATTTCTGGATGGGTTAGTCATTAAAAGAGAAAGATTATAATCTTTTTATAATCAAAAGGGAGTAATTTTCTTTCTCTAAAAATATACACATTTATACAAAAGAAAAAAAAAAACAGGAGGAGATGCAGATTTTAACAGTGGTGCCCCTTGAAAAGTAGAGAAAAATTATGTTTTTTTCTCTTGTATGGATTTTCTAATTTTGTGCAGCTTGTGTTCTTTTGTGTAACTAAAGGGGCTTGAATGTACATCCTACCCCCATCTGAGATTGCTTTCTGCTTTGTGTTTACTGACGTGACTTTAGAGCAATGGCCTCTTTAGTGGTCATTTGTCACCACATTTTCTTAAAGTTGCTTATGCAGCCTCAGATACACAGGAACCGCATCAGAAGCTGACTGCAGTGTGTCTTCTCAGACTTTTCCTGTGATGCACGTATGGGACTCTCAAACTGATTATCTCTGGGAAGACACAGCACGGAGGTGGCGTAGGGAGGGGAAAGGCAAACTGTATTATTTCTGTGCTGTTTAAATATTTTGCATTGTATTGCTCGTGTAAATGAAAAAAGTTAAAGGATTTCTGTCAGGGATAGGCTTGTGCAGGAGCAAAGGGTCCTGATGGGTGACAACCTGTTTCCTGCCCATGGGTCCTTCCGTCTCACAGTCTCCTTCTCACTAGGCCCCCCAAAGCCCCTCCAGCCAGCCAGGGGTGCGGGGAGAAGAGACTCCGGCGGAGGGTTTTCTGGGCTCCTAAGTGGCCTAGGTTCACTGTGCCCTAGACTCCCCGCTCCTTCCTCGCCAGAACTCAGCCACGTGGTGGCACCTGGCTGCTAGGGAAGTTAGCGGTGTAGTTTCCAGAAGGGAAGGGAGTGGTTTGGGAAACGGGCAGCCCCTGTTGCTGCTTCCGTTCTGGTGGCCGGACTTCCGATTCGGTCCTGGAAGCACAGGCGAGCCCCTCACACCCCTGGCACAGCCGGACACAGAGCACTCCCAGCATGCACCGCTCTCCCGTGGGGCCCCAGCGTGGTTCCTCGTGGTCCCGCGACCAGGAACTGCTCACCACCAGAGCAGCTCCCCGTCCTAAGGGAGCCGGGTCCCAGCAGAGCTGGAATTGGGCTGGGGTGTGGGAAGAGCTTCCTGGTGGACCCTGACTGCTGTCCGGGGGCGTGACGCCCTAGGCCCACCCCTCAGACCTTCCCCTCTGTGATCTCTTGCGGTCTGTGAGGAGGGGCTGCCGCAGTCCCCCTCCTGCAACTGTGAGGAGGGGGCGCCCAGAGACACGCAGCCGCAAGCAGCCGGCTGTCGTCGTGCCCGCCCTGCCGTGTCTGTGGCCTCTTGGCTCTCCCAGGAGTGCCTGGGCTCCTGTCTGTGCGCCTTCGGCGGGCCAGCCGCCAGCTCCACCGAGCCCGGCCTTGCTTTTCCTTTCCACGCGCTTGCTCTCTCCTCTGTCTTGGACCTGAGGGACTTAGACCTGGGGTTTGTGGAGCTAAAAGGCTTGGGAGGGAAGGTGGCCGTGCCCGACCTGACCTTCCCTGGAAGGAGTCTTGGATGGCCCTGCTTTTGGGGAGCGGGGGGCTGCAGTTTGTCTCCCAGGGTCCCCGGGCCTCTGGTTACTTTCTGTTCCACTCGTGTCTGTTTGCTCAAGCCCACTTTATGCGTGGGCTACAAACACCCCCATCATTTCCTCCAAGGCCACAGGCTTAGTCCCTGCTGACCGTGAGTCTTCACTCTGTCCCCGTGCCCTGCCTGCCACTGTCACTAAGCGCCGTCCTGCAGGGCCACCGCCGCCCCCCTCGGGCACCGGCTTCTGCAGGCGTCAGGGCAGCTGCCGCAGTAATCTCACGTTTCAGTGGCGGTCCATTTCCTGGTCCCACAGCAGGCAGCCGGTGCTGCTGGCCAGGTGAGCCTCCCGCGAGTGCCCTCCCTCTTGGTCTTCCCAGCCGTGCGGCACCTCCTGTACCTCAGGCTGTGGCTTCTCCCTGCAGCTGGGAAGTGTGGTTTGGCGGCATTCCCGTGGCTCTGGGGAGAAAGTGGAAAGGGCTTGGTGAAAACCTAGCAGGAGGTGCCACACCTCGGAAACAGGAAGGCAGATGTTCTAACAGGTGTGAGGAGTATGTCCAGTGTTAAGTAAGCGCTCTGAGGCAGGTCCCAGGCCACGCTCGGCTCAGAGGAGACACTGTGCTAGGGTTTCTCCGCGTGAAAGGACGGTGGGCAGAGATGAGTGGGCGGGTCCAGAGCAGGTCCTCGGGGCGTCCTCTCCCCCCGCCACCCCCGGGGAAGTCAGGCGGACTAGTTCTCCCAGCTACTGTGAGACCAAGGACGCCTGCTGGGCCTGGAGTCCAGGGTGACTGTGGTCAGCCATGCAGGCGCACACCATTCCCCTGACCGCCTCAGCTCCTGAGGCTGCCCTGGGGGAGCGGCTTTGCTGGAAACCACCTCAGGGGGAGCTTCTTCAGTCAGACGTCACAGATTGCAGACTCGCTCCTGTCCAGTGTGTCTCCCAGGAGCCGCCCTGGGCCCATCCTGAGGACAGGCCTCTCCTGGGATGTGTAGCTGTGCAGCTTACACTAGCTCTGCATGTGTGCATGCGTGTGCATGTGTGTGTATGTGTGTGTGTGTGTGTGTGTGTGTGTAGTTTTCTCTCATGTGTTCTTTGGTTGATACAACCTCTGGAAAATAAAGATATTCCTGCCAGCTGGATTTTTCTAGAGATGGTTGAGAAAAATCCATTTTCTAGGAAACTTTTATTTGATTGTTTTAATTTGCTAACAGAAAAGTTAAATGAGGATAGTTTTCACCTGAATATTTGTCCCATTTTAATTGTGTTTACCTTACAGCTTCATGTAAGAACTGTTCTGTTTTGATCCAGTGCGGGCGGGGTTCTTCCAGGCAGAATATCTGACTTGTAGGCAGTAGCCACCATGCTGGTTCCTCATCCAACAGGAAGTGAATATGCCTCTAGGAGAGTATTTCCTGCTCTGATGTGTGCAGTCCTGATGTCACCCAGGGTTGGAGAAACTTTGTCTGGAGCTCAGATTCCGCCCCTCTGAAAGGCAGATGAGAAGAGCTGCCGTCTTACTGTGACAGTGGGCAGAGCAGGACCCCAGTTGCCTGAAATGCTGGTGGGGAGGGTGTGCGGCTGGGCTGCCCTGGTCCTCGCCCTGGAGCCTGGCTCCCAGGTGCCTTCACCCCCTGTCCCACTCCGCCCTCACCTGCCTCCTGAGCTGCAGGTGGGCCTGCAGGCCTTGGCGTGGAACCCTGCACACTGTATGTCTCAGTTCATTACGCCTCTGAGACGAAGGGAAACCTCACCAAGTCCGAGACAGAGGGAACAGGCCCCAGTGCTGGGGCCCCGCGGCCCAGACCATGTCCCGTTCCTCCTACAAAGGGCGTCTGTGCCCTGGCGCAGCACCCGCGTTCTCATGGGATTCTGTTTCTCAAAGAGAACCCTTGTAGCTTTGGCTGACAATCCAGCAGGTGTCCACCCACGGCAGATTACAGTTTAGGATTGTCATGGCCCTCCACTGGCCACCAGCCCCACACCAGTCTGGGGGCAAATCTGAAAGTCCCCATGGAGAAATAAAGGGCCGGCCGTGGGCTGGCCATAAGGGCAGAGACGGGGAGGGTTAGCATTCACTTAGGCTTCGCGCCTGGAAGCTAGGACAACAGCCGTGCAGCAGTGAGAAGTGGGCTGGGGCAGCAAGGGCTTCACGGAGGGGGGCACGCGGACTGTGTGCTGCTGACCTGTTGCGCTCACAGGGCTGCCGTCCAGGCTCTCGGGGCCAGACCCCGTCTGGACTTGGGGTCAGCCCGCCTCTCCTCCTGGCCACTCTTGACTCGCCCTCACACGCTGCTGCCAGATGACCCTGCGTCTCCTGAATGCCAGCCCTTCTTGCCTCGCTTCTTGGTGTAGCGACCACCAGAAGTGCCCCAGGGTCATCTGAGCGTCAGGATGACCCTGCTCCATGGAAGTTCAGTGGCCACCATGCCCCGACCGCCCTCAAGAGCATCAGCTTCCCACTTCCTGCTCCCTCCCTGTCTCTGCTGGTCACTGCCCTCGTAGTCCTCTTCTGCCCTAGCTGCTACTTCCCCATGAGGCCTATCCAGGCTGAGTCCACAGCGACCAGTCTGGTGGCCACAGGCCTGGGGTCTCTGAGTCCATCCGACCAGCCTGGTGGCCACAGGCCTGGGTTCTCTGAGTCCATCCGACCAGCCTGGTGGCCACAGGCCTGGGTTCTCTGAGTCCATCCCACCACCCTGGTGGCCACAGGCCTGGGGTCTCTGAGTCCATCCGACCAGCCTGGTGGCCACAGGCCTGGGTTCTCTGAGTCCATCCGACCAGCCTGGTGGCCACAGGCCTCGGTTCTCTGAGTCCATCCGACCACCCTGGTGGCCACAGGCCTGGGGTCTCTGAGTCCATCCGACCAGCCTGGTGGCCACAGGCCTGGGTTCTCTGAGTCCATCCCACCACCCTGGTGGCCACAGGCCTGGGGTCTCTGAGTCCATCCGACCAGCCTGGTGGCCACAGGCCTGGGGTCTCTGAGTCCATCCCACCAGCCTGGTGGCCACAGGCCTGGGTTCTCTGAGTCCATCCGACCAGCCTGGTGGCCACAGGCCTGGGTTCTCTGAGTCCATCCGACCAGCCTGGTGGCCACAGGCCTCGGTTCTCTGAGTCCATCCGACCAGCCTGGTGGCCACAGGCCTCGGTTCTCTGAGTCCATCCGACCACCCTGGTGGCCACAGGCCTGGGGTCTCTGAGTCCATCCGACCAGCCTGGTGGCCACAGGCCTGGGTTCTCTGAGTCCATCCGACCAGCCTGGTGGCCACAGGCCTGGGTTCTCTGAGTCCATCCGACCAGCCTGGTGGCCACAGGCCTGGGGTCTCTGAGTCCATCCGACCAGCCTGGTGGCCACAGGCCTGGGTTGTCTGAGTCCATCCCACCACCCTGGTGGCCACAGGCCTGGGGTCTCTGAGTCCATCCGACCAGCCTGGTGGCCACAGGCCTGGGTTCTCTGAGTCCATCCCACCAGCCTGGTGGCCACAGGCCTGGGTTCTCTGAGTCCATCCCACCAGCCTGGTGGCCACAGGCCTGGGTTCTCTGAGTCCATCCCACCAGCCTGGTGGCCACAGGCCTGGGTTCTCTGAGTCCATCCGACCAGCCTGGTGGCCACAGGCCTGGGTTCTCTGAGTCCATCCCACCAGCCTGGTGGCCACAGGCCTGGGGTCTCTGAGTCCATCCGACCAGCCTGGTGGCCACAGGCCTGGGTTCTCTGAGTCCATCCCACCAGCCTGGTGGCCACAGGCCTGGGTTCTCTGAGTCCATCCGACCAGCCTGGTGGCCACAGGCCTGGGTTCTCTGAGTCCATCCGACCAGCCTGGTGGCCACAGGCCTGGGTTCTCTGAGTCCATCCCACCACCCTGGTGGCCACAGGCCTGGGGTCTCTGAGTCCATCCGACCAGCCTGGTGGCCACAGGCCTGGGTTCTCTGAGTCCATCCGACCAGCCTGGTGGCCACAGGCCTGGGGTCTCTGAGTCCATCCGACCAGCCTGGTGGCCACAGGCCTGGGGTCTCTGAGTCCATCCGACCAGCCTGGTGGCCACAGGCCTGGGTTCTCTGAGTCCATCCCACCACCCTGGTGGCCACAGGCCTGGGTTCTCTGAGTCCATCCCACCAGCCTGGTGGCCACAGGCCTGGGGTCTCTGAGTCCATCCCACCACCCTGGTGGCCACAGGCCTGGGGTCTCTGAGTCCATCCGACCAGCCTGGTGGCCACAGGCCTGGGTTCTCTGAGTCCATCCCACCAGCCTGGTGGCCACAGGCCTGGGTTCTCTGAGTCCATCCCACCAGCCTGGTGGCCACAGGCCTGGGTTCTCTGAGTCCATCCCACCACCCTGGTGGCCACAGGCCTGGGTTCTCTGAGTCCATCCGACCAGCCTGGTGGCCACAGGCCTGGGGTCTCTGAGTCCATCCGACCAGCCTGGTGGCCACAGGCCTGGGTTCTCTGAGTCCATCCGACCAGCCTGGTGGCCACAGGCCTGGGTTCTCTGAGTCCATCCCACCAGCCTGGTGGCCACAGGCCTGGGGTCTCTGAGTCCATCCGACCAGCCTGGTGGCCACAGGCCTGGGGTCTCTGAGTCCATCCCACCAGCCTGGTGGCCACAGGCCTGGGTTCTCTGAGTCCATCCGACCAGCCTGGTGGCCACAGGCCTGGGGTCTCTGAGTCCATCCGACCAGCCTGGTGGCCACAGGCCTGGGGTCTCTGAGTCCATCCGACCAGCCTGGTGGCCACAGGCCTGGGGTCTCTGAGTCCATCCCACCAGCCTGGTGGCCACAGGCCTGGGTTCTCTGAGTCCATCCCACCAGCCTGGTGGCCACAGGCCTGGGTTCTCTGAGTCCGTCCCACCACCCTGGTGGCCACAGGCCTGGGGTCTCTGAGTCCGTCCGACCAGCCTGGTGGCCACAGGCCTGGGGTCTCTGAGTCCGTCCGACCAGCCTGGTGGCCACAGGCCTGGGTTCTCTGAGTCCATCCCACCACCCTGGTGGCCACAGGCCTGGGGTCTCTGAGTCCATCCGACCAGCCTGGTGGCCACAGGCCTGGGTTCTCTGAGTCCATCCCACCAGCCTGGTGGCCACAGGCCTGGGTTCTCTGAGTCCATCCGACCAGCCTGGTAGCCATAGGCCTGGGGTCTCTGAGTCCACACAACCAAGCCTGGCGTCGGGCAGTCAGGCCCTTGCTCTTGGCTTTGTCAGTGGTTGTGTCCCTAAGTTTCAGGCGCACCGGAAGCCTTTGATGGCTTGTGAGGCAGAGCAGAAGCTGGGTAACCTGGAGCTGCTGCCTCGTGTGTAAGCTGGTGACAGGGAATTGTTAACTGTGAGTTGGGACAGGGCCTGAAGCTTTCTGTTTCTGCCCATGTCTTGTTGATTTGGGGTTTCTAAGACACGACCAGTGAACCAGTGGTTACGTTACCTGAGATAGTCAACTCGGATGACAGAATGTTGTAGAATAGTTGACTGGATCTCAGATGAGCAGTAGATAGCAATGTATTTTGTAGTTTTCCACCGACCAGCGTAGGAGGTGACTTTGTATCCTCATCGTTGGTATCAGCTGTCAACTCTGGCCGTGATCTGGAGGTGCTGCTCTGGGCTGGTGATTACCAGGCCTCTGCGAGGGTGGCATTCCCTCTGTTACCAGCGGGGGCTGCAGACACCCCACGTCTCGGTGGGTCTGCTCAGTGGGAGCCACAGGACTGGAGCCCAGGTCTGCATGACTTGAAAACCTGTGGGATCAATGAGCAGTCATGGCAGGGAACCTCTGGAGAGGTCATGACTTCTGTTTTCTCTTTCTTGGGGGAGAAGAGTGGAGATGAGTCAGGAGGTGTGATGTGTGTGTGTGTGTGTGTATGATTGTACTGGTAATTGGGCATAAACAGCGGACTGTGGTCTTCATTAAGCATCGTGCCCATGGTCATTCATATGTTCTTGGGGCTCCAGGTGGAAGATGGAAGAACCACAAGAGATTATCTCCAGGAATGATGGCCATGTGGGTGACATCGTGGTGGAAAATTTCCTGGTGGATTCCATGAAGCCTGCACCCCACGTTCAGCTCGCCTGCAGTGGGCAGTCCTGTGCTTTCCCTTTAGATGGAAACGAACTTTGCATATGGGACACCAAGGACCCTCCTCAGCAGGTGTGAAAGTTACACGTGTGTCTTGTCACGTCACAGAGGCTTGCATTGCTGCTTTGTTTCTCTGACGCTGCTGGCGTGGTTTTGCCCTTTGTGGATTCAACTACCAGCTCCAGGAGGAAAATGCTAACAAAACAGAACCTACTAAGATTTGGTTTTTAGGAAATAAACTGTCTGGGATCACTTTATTTAAAAATAAATTTAAATTACTTAAAATTTCTTCTTGAATAAGAGTATAAGCAAGGAAAATTTCATCTTAATAGTATCAAGACAAGTCGAACTTTTAGATTTTTAAAAATTTTTTATTTTTTTAAATAAACTTCCACCACTTCCCTGGTGGTTCAGAGGGTAAGGAGTCTGCCTGCAGTGCGGAAGACCCGGGTTTGATCCCTGGGTCAGGAAGATCCCCTGGAGAAGGAAGTGGCAACCCACTCCAGCATTTTTGCCTGGAGAATCCCATGGACAGAGGAGCCTGGCAGGCTACAGTCCATAGGGTCACAAAGAGTCAAACACGACTGAATGACTTCACTTAATTTTTTAATTTTTAATTTTGCATATTTGTAATACTGCATTTAAGGGAGTTTATTGTGTTTGTTGCCAAGTCTTTAACATCAAACTGATAGAGTTTTAAAGACATCTGGTGAGTTTTGCTAATGTTTGAGCTTAGGATAAATGGTGTGATGCATTACGCATTCTTTTTTGCTGCTTTCTTTGATTCACCAAGTTTATGTTTCTGAGATTCATCTATGTTCATTTTCATTACTGTGCAGTGTTGTTTTGTGGCTAGACCACACTTTGTTGTTCTACTATTGTTGGAGATTTGGTTTGTTTCCATATTTGATTGCTACAAACATTCTTTTATGTATCTTTTGATACACATGTGTATACAATTTCTGGATCTTAAGGAGTGCATATATTCAGTCTAAAAGTTAATGCCAAGATTTCTAAGTGATTGTTCCAACCTGTTCTTCACATGGTGGATGAGACTTCCAGTTGATCCACACCCTCACCCACATTTGGTTCTTTTAACTTTGTCCCTCCTTGTGGTTGTACTGGTATTTAATTATGATTTGAAGTTCCCTGATGATTAGTGAGCTTTAACACCCTTGGAGCACATTTATTGTGGATGTACTCATTTGGCCATTCTCTTTTGTGATATATGTGTTCAGTCTCTTGCCATTTTTTTTCCTACTCAATTATCTGTCTGATTGATTTGAAAGAGTTTTTTATGTATTCTAAATATAAGCTTTATTTTACTTTGCATTTTCTAGAGTTTTATGTAAATAGAATCAGTTAGTTTTAACTCTTTTCATCTGACTTCTTTCACTCAGAGTAATTGTTCTGAGATTTATGCACATTGCTGCATGTGTCAACAGTTCTTTTTTTGTTATTGAATAGTATTCCACCATGTGGATATACTGCAATCTGTTTTTGTCCATTCTCCTGTTGATGCACACTGAGGCTATTCTATAACAGACAATATAACTTTGTCTGTTATAAAGGAAGTTGCTGTAAATGTATGCGTGTCTTTTGTTTTATAAATGTCAGTTAGGTGTCAGTTAGGTCAAGTTGGTTGACAGTGTGTTCTTTTGGTTCTCTCTTTATGACCACCTGTTCCGTCAGTTATTGAGGCATCCTGGAGTCTGTGACCAAAAGTGTGCTTGTCTGTTTCTCTCCCGTCAGATCTGCTCCATGTGTTTTGAAGCACCGTTAAGCAGTAAATGTTTGTTATCTTTATATCTTCTTGATGATGTGACTCCATTAACATGGAAGGACGTGCTCTGTCCCTGTTAATATTTCTTACTCTGGAATTTTGGTACACTTTTCTTTTTACTTGTTTTTTTTTTTTTTGTATTTTAAGACTATTATTTTTTAAGAGCAGTTTTAGGTCTGCAGCGAAATTGAGGGGAAAGTAGAGATTTCCTTTATCTCTTTGCCCCCAAACATGCATTTCCTCCCCCAGGTCAGCACCCCTCCATGGTACATCTGTTACAGGTGATGAGCCTGTGTCGATGTTGTTTTTATCTGAAGCCCATAGTTTGCCGTAGAGTTGATGTGTGCATTCTATGGGTTTGGACAGGTGTCCCGTGACATGTACTCACCATCATAGCATCTCACAGACTCCTTTCCCTGCTGAAAGTCCTCTGGGCTCTGCCTGCTCGTTCCTCCCCCTGACCCCCTCACCCTGGCAGCCACCAATCTTTCACCGTCTCCCTAGTTTTGTCTTCTCCAGAATGCTGTATGTTGGAATCATACAGTATGTAGCCTTTTCAGATTGACTTCTTTCCCTAGTCATTTGCATTGAAGTTTTCACCATGTCTTTTCTTGGCTCGATAGCTGATTTCTTTCCAGTGTAGAATATTTTCTTGTCTGGATGGGCCAGAATTTATTTATTCATTCACCTACTGAAGTTGCTTTCAAGTTTTTGCAATTATGAATAAAGCTGTGGTAAACATCAATTTTTGTGAAGTGAAGTGAAAGTCGCTCAGTCGTGTCTGACTCTTTGTGACTCATGGACTGTATAGTTCATGGAATTCTCCAGGCCAGAGTACTGGAACGGGTAGCCTTTCCCTTCTCCAGAGGATCTTCCCAATCCAGGGATAGAACCCAGGTCTCCTGCATTGCAGTCAGATTCTTTACCAGCTGAGCCACAAGGGAAGCCCAAGAATACTGGAGTAGGTAGCCTATCCCTTCTGCAGATCTTCCCGACCTACAAATCAATCTGGGGTCTCCTGAATTGCAGACAGATTCTTTACCAACTGAGCTATGAGGGAAGCCAACTCCTTTGGTAAATACGAAGAAGCAGGATTGCTGAGCTATATGATGAGAGTATGTTTCACTTTGTAAGAAAGTGGCCCTAGTAAAGGATGAGAGTTCCTCTTGCTGCACGTCCTTGCCAGCATTTGGTATTGTCTATTCTGTATTTTAGCCATTTTGACAAATGTGCAGTAGTATCTTATTGCTGTTTAATTTGAATTTCCCTGACGACTTACATTCCATACTTGCCACCTGCGTATCTTCTTTGGTGAGGTGTCTGTTAAGGTCTTTTGTCCATTTTTAATTGAGTGGTTTATTTTCTTGTGTCTTAAGAAGTCTTTGTATATTTTGGATATCAGTCCTTCATCAGATATGGCTTTTGCAAATATTTTCTCCCAGCCTGTGGTTTTTCTTTTTATTCTCTTGATAGTGTCTTTCATGGAGCAGAAAATTTTAATGTTAATGAAGTCCAGCTTATCAATTCTTACTTTCATGGGTCATGTCTTTCATGTCTTATCTAAAAAATCATTGCCAAACTCAAGTCATCTAGAGTTTGTCTATGTTGCCTTTTGGAAGTATATGGTTTTTCCCACTGTATTGCCTTTGTTTCTTTATGAATGGTCTGCTGACTATTTCTGGCTCTTTCTTCTCTCCCAGTGATCCTTTCTTTTGCTAGCGTCACACAGTCTTGATCAGTGGAGCTTTAAAGTAAGCCTTGAACTCAGGTAGGTCAGTCCTCCACCTGTGTTATTTTACAATATTATGTGGCTATTGTGTCTTTTGCCCCCACCAAGATAAACTTCACAGTAAGTTTGGTGATTTCATTTGGATTATACTGAAGCTATAGATCAAGCTGGGAACAATTGACATGTTAATAACATTGAGTCTTCATAAACATCGACTGTCTCTCTGTTAATTTAGTTCTTCATTTATTTCTTTCCACAGAGTTTTATTATTTTCCAACCTTGTGTACATGGAATAAACCCCACGTGGCCATGGTTATAATTCCTTTTATACATACATTGTTTGGTTTGATTTGGTAATATTTTAAATATTTGGTGAGGATTTTTGCATCTCTGTTCATGAGAGATGCTGATCTGTGGTTTTCTTCTCTGGACATGACTTTGTGTGGTTTTGGTGTCCAGGTAATGCTGACTTCAGAGTAAAGAGATGCTGATCTGTGGTTTTCTTCTCTGGACATGACTTTCTGTGGTTTTGGTGTCCAGGTAATGCTGACTTCAGAGTATGAGCAAGGATGTAGCCCTTCTGTTTCTTGTGAAAAGAAGTGTTTCCTCTAATTTTTCTTCTGTTTTCTGAAAGACATTTGGTAGAATTGGCAACATGCCCCTCCCTCCCACCTTGGTAGGCTGTATTTCCTTTTTAAAGCAGGAATTTGTTAAAGTCTACCCATTGCATTTTAGGGGAAGAAGTGCAGAGTGTCAGCTTTATTATGGCTTTTGAGTCTATTCTCAGAAGCTCTTTGTAGCAGGATGGGATTCTTTGCTCTTCTCCCAGTAAGACTGTTCCATTTATGCCCAGACAGTACTGCATTTAGTTGCACCATTTTTGTGCCCCAGCCCCATAAATACCTTGCTTCTCAAGTGCTTCACTGGATTAGTCAGGAGTGTAGTTGTCTTCACCGGAGAGGCAGCCTTGGTGCTGGGATCCTTCCTCTCAGCCTTCTTCTCTGATCTGAATTCTTCGTTGCCTTCATTATTCTCTGATGTCTGAGAAAATGTTTTCTTTTCTTTCTTTTTTTTAGCGAAGTGTGTCTTTTTTATCTTGTCCTTCTCATGGGAGGGTTGGTGCAGATGAACCCACCTGCCATGGGCATAGGAGGGACTCTGCTGGGCCTCCCGCTGGAGGCAGAGCTCTCACGGCAGGAGGCATGCAGTCCACCTAAGGCTGGCTTGAGAAAACCTCTGCCTCCTGGGGTGGTCACCAGTGGTCCACGCCGACTCCCCTGCCCTCCCCGTGTGTGCCCTCCCTCCTTGTGCTGTGCCCACGCAGGGTCTCAGCATGCTGCTGACTGTCTCTTCTTGTCTCCTCTTCATCCCTTCAGGCCGCTGGTCATCCCCTCCCTCCTCCCACCCTGCCTCCTTGGCTCAAGCCTCCGTCCTGTCTCCTTTGGAGCATTTTGGTTTCCTCTGTGCCCCCACCCTCGGCTCTCTTCTGAACCTTCAGAAATGTGTGTTCCTGAAAAGCCAGATCTGTCACTGCATTCTTCTACATGCATAGTGCTGGCCTGTGGTTTTCTGTAGCTCCGTCCTAGCACCCTACGTGGTGGTCAGAGCGTTAGTACGTGGCCTAGACTCTCTCCAGCTCCACCTTCTTGCTTTGTTCATACCAGCTGTTCCGTAAACACGCGTTGCTTTCTCGGCTCCTCTTGCCAAATCCTTGGTGCTGTCCTTATCCTTCAGTATTTAGCACAGCTGTCGCCCCTCTGGCCTGGGGTGGGGATGCCGTGTGCATGGCTGATTAATAAGTAGGGAGGAAACAGAAGGAAGAGGCAATCATTTGATTTGTGTGCCATTAGTGATGCTGAGTAACAGGGAAATACTTAACCCAAGAGAGTAATTTAATGGTACATGAACAGTGATTTACATAGATGAAGTAGAAATGAATATATGAAATACATGTTCGAAGAACTCAATCCGTTTAATTTCTTAGGATTGAGGCTATGTTATATTCTTTTTTATTTAAAAAAATGTTTTCTATAATCTATGGTCTTTTTGTTTTTTGTTACTCTCTTCAGCTGATGATCCTAAAAGGACACCGTCAGCCCATCACCGCCCTGACATTTGGGAGCAGAGAGAGCCCGCTTCTGGTCTGTTCTGCATCACGAGATTGTGTCATGATGTGGGGCCTGGATGAGTGCAGACAGAAAGAGCTTCAAGGTGACGGGGCTTTAAACACATTTAAAATGCACAAAGGGAATGACTCGTTTTAAGTGCACTTGGTGACACAAGGTGTTTTGGGATCATTTTTGATGCCTTTAACCTTGAAACTTGGTGTCTAAGCTGGATGTTGTATGTGGGAAGTAGAAAAAGCCACTCAGAACTGCTGACCTTGGCTGACACCATAGGTTCATTAGTTTTCATCTTAAGACTGTCTGCTTCTGAAATTGGTGATTTTTGTGGAACTCTGAAAGCAGCTTAACAAGTTGAAATATTCTTCCCTTACTGAGACAGTAGTGAATCTACAGCTTAGCGTGGGAGACAGACTGGAACGTGTGAACCAGCAGACAGCTGTGGGCAGTGAGTAGGGAAAGGAACCTCAGTGCGGGCAGGCAATGCGGCAGGACCTGCTCAGGGCTGCGGGTTCTGCAGGGGCGGTGTTTGGGCCGGAGGAGGAGGGTCAGAGCAGGAGCCGCTGATTGAAGAGCTGAGAACCAGCCCATGTGGTTGGAGCTCAGTGATGTTAGGAGACTTTTATCAGGTGAAGTCAAAGAGTTGGGTGGGTCCCAGAACTAGAACAAATAATTTAAAAATTTGTATGGAAACAACGAGAGATATGGAGAAAACCTTGAGAAATAAGGACGGAGCTGGAGGAATCAGGCTCCCTGACTTCAGACTGTGCCTCAGAGCTACAGTCTTCAAAGCAGCATGGCGCTAGCACAGAAGCAGACACATCGATCAGTGGAACAAATGGGGAGCTGGTTTATTTGTTTTGCTTACTGGCATCTAAATGCCTCCTGCCTGCCCACCCTGTAGGATTTCCCCAGAGGCGAGGTTTCTCTGTCTGGTTCCTGGATGTGTCCTAGGCCTGAGGGTGCCTGGGGAGGTACAGGCACTTGCTGAGTGCAACGCAGCAGATCCATGTGGTGGCCCTCAGAACGGAACTGTGAGTGGGAGGTGCATGTTTCCTTTCTGTGGGCTCTTGTCCTGACAAGAGGCTCCAGTCTCTGGGCCAGACTGCGGTGGGCCTTGAGCCTTTGCGGCCCAGTGGCAGGCTGGCCCAGTGACCTCACTTGAAGGTAAGGCTGCAGGCTGGCTTGCAGCATCACTGTGGGGCTTGCAGGCTGGCCTGATACACCTCTTCTTGGCAGTGGAGAGGCTCTGGGCTGGAGGCTGAGGCTTAGATGGGCACAGCATCCCTTCTGCCTGCTTGACACAGGCCATGGCCGGTCATTGGCTTGGTCTGGAGCCAGGGTGGCCTCAGGGAGGAGGGAGGATTGGGACCCACGACTCACCCAGGGTGTGTGCGTGGGTGGTTCCCCAAGACACGTTATCCTTCCTGACGTGGAGTCACTTCCCTGTGGCCCGTCCCTGGGTTCCATGTATTTCCAGAAGAACTTTCCATGTTTTAAATTCTCTTGAAGAGCCAAAATCAGACCAAAGCTCATACTCTTCTGCACACAGTCCTAGAGCAGAGGGTTTTGCTGTCAGCATTTCCCAGAGGTCATTGCGGGCGTCACTGAGTGGCCTTGACAGGCAGACACAGATGACCAAACTCCCTGCAGGGCGACTTCCGCGGGGGACTGTTCTCGGTGCCCTCCTGGGAAGGGTGCTGTGTCTGAGGCTTAGTCCCGATGATCGAGTGGTGGCGGTGTGTGCGGGGAACAGAGTACTCATGCTGGACCTTGAGGTGAGATTCCAGCCCCATGGCCACAGGCCCCCAGGCATGGGCCCTTTCCACCACTTCTCGCCAGAGCGTCTCACTGGGCAACTTCTGTGAGGGTGTCGGCCCGGGGCTGCCCGGGCTCCATCTTGGCTGGGCGTCTGAGTTTTACCTTCCAGGTTTATATGCAGGAAGTTTCACATTTGGGCAATGGGATTATGTAGAAACTGTTTTCTGTGAGATTCATACAACTTCTTAATAACAATAATGACTGACCTTCCTTCACCAGCCCCCAGAGCCGATCCACGCTGGCTGAGCTGGATGGTCATCACGGCCCAGTGACCGCGGCCGAGTTTTGCGCTCAGCAGACACGCGTCCTCATCTCGGCGTCTGAGGACAGGAGCTTCAAGGTGCGGGGCAGGTGTCAGGCTGTCGGGGCCCGTGGGCGCTCTGCGCTGTGCTTCTGGTTCCCGGCCGCTGCCACCGTGAAACGTCCGAGGGACGACTGCCCTCAACCTGAGTCTGACGTTTTGGGCTGTCACCAAGCGGGTGTGGGGAGCCGGGGCCCACAGCACCCTGTGCTGACCCGGCGTTCCAGGGTGCGCTATCTGGTTGGGACCCTCCTTCTGAAACTGGGGCCTTGCGGGGACTGGCACCTTAACTCACCTCCATGGTGTTCCCTGGGGCTGCTCTCCAGTAGCAGAAGATTCAGTCAGAACTCAATTGGGCTTGAGAGGAGAGTAACTCAAAATGCAAGCTCAGGTCCCATCCACCTCCCAGTCTGTTCATCGCGGTCGTCACCTGGCTGAGACGTGAGGACGTTGTGTGTTGTGACTGAAGGGAACTGAGGGTGGGTAGCAGGCATCTGCAGACAGAGGAGGAGACTGTAAATGCTTCCCTCGTCCCCTTGGAGTTTCTGCCACTGACTTGGCAAAGGTCCCCTCCCTGCTCTGAGGCAGCGGTCGGGGCTGGAGCCCCGGCTCCCCGCTGCAGAGGGTTGGCTGTGCTGAGCTCGCTTCTCCGTGAGGTGAGGTGCTGGCGACCTCGCCTGCAGGGTGTGCGAGGGTTGGAGCTGCTGAGCCCGCCTCCACGTAACCGGTCCTTTCCAGTCTTCCCACCTCGTCTTGCAATGTTGCTGAAGTGCTGGAAATGTTCCCAACCTTGTCTTGTCTGCGTCTTCCAGACCCATAGGTTGATATTTCTGGAACTGTTTATTTCCTGTATGATTCTAATATCTTCTATTGTGTTTCTATAGTTTTGTGATTTATGCCCTTATTTTCTCCTTTAGATAACCGTTCACGTGAATTAATTGGTAGTTGGGTAGAAGTATTAGTTCAAGCTGTAACAATAATGGTAATACTTGTGCTTCTTCTAGAACATGTGTGTCTGTCCAAAGGTTTGGGACCATCGTATGGGATCATTGATACACAGCTCATCAGTGTTAACAGGTAACTTGGAACGTGTTTTCTGTCTGTAGGCTATGTGCACACAGTCTATTCTAGTTCACATGTTAATCTTGAAGCCAGAGCTACACCGTCCGTAGGGTCTCAGTGTCACTTATGGAGAGTGTTTCACACCCATCTACTGTCTATCCACATGTTGAAATAATTCACATAACAGTTAATCTTTTTGAAACTTTCAACTTTAAATTAAGCATATGCTTGGAGTCAGAGCCTCTCTGTCTCAGAAAATTGGGAAATCATGTTGGTGGCCCTAAGAAAAGTGCTGTCCGTCTCCGCTGTTGCATGGAAGCAAGGCCCAGCGCTGCGGCCTCTGCCGACAGAGCCAGTGGCTGCGGCTAGGAGTGAGGGGCCGGCCTGGGTGGGCCGTGCACTGCTCCTGAGCCCTTTTGGGTGGCTTTTGGGCATGCTCTTTCCCCACGCTCTTCCTGGTGCCCGTGACCCCAGAGTGTGATCACATGGGTGGGCTCAGTGCTGAGCAGGGCCAGCAGGCGTCCGAGCTAAGGGCTCTGTGCTCCCTTCCGCAGCCTCCCCGCTCCTGAGTCTCCTTGTGGACCCGCGGAGTCAGCAGCTGGTGGCCGGGTGCACGGACGGCCAGGTGAGAGCCACTGTGCAACTCTAGCTTTCAGACATTGTGACGGGTGGACGTGTGAGCACAGACGTCTCTTTCAAGGCTGCTTTTATCCGTGGCTGAGGCCAGACCTGCTGGTGCCTGGTGGCCTGCCTGCAGGAAATGAGACCTTCTGTAAAGGCTGGTACAGCCCTTAGTGTCAGCTTTATACCTTTTGAGAGATTTGAAGGTACTTGGTCTTTTTTAAAACTTAGTTTTTAGGTGAGCAATTGAAGTTGGCTTTGCAAACTATGGATACTGTTCTCTTTTTAAAAGTGGCTGTTGGACTTCCCTGGTAGCTCCATTGTAAAAAATCTGCCTGGCAATGCAGGGGATGCGGGTTTGATCCCTGATCCGGGAAGATCCCACGTGCCACGGAGCAACTAAACCCATGAGTCAAAACTACTGAGCCTGTGCTCTAGAGCCCGGGAGCTTCAACTACTGAGCCCACAGGGGCAAGTCCTGAAGCCTGTGCACCCTCGAGATTGTGCTTCAAAACAGGAGAAGGCACTGCAGTGAGAACTCCGCACATCACAGCTAGAGAGCAGCCCCTGTTCTCCATAAATAGAGACGCCCCCAGTGAGAATCCCGCGCAGCTAGAGAGCAGCCCCTGTTCTCCATAGAGACGCTCCCCAGTGAGAACCCCACGCAGCACAGCTAGAGAGCAGCCCGTGTTCTCCATAAATAGAGCCGCCCCCAGTGAGAACCCCGCGCAGCTAGAGAGCAGCCCCTGTTCTCCATAGAGACGCTCCCCAGTGAGAACCCCGTGCAGCACAGCTAGAGAGCAGCCCGTGTTCTCCATAAATAGAGACGCCCCCAGTGAGAACCCCACGCAGCTAGAGAGCAGCCCCTGTTCTCCATAAATAGAGACGCCCCCAGTGAGAACCCCGCGCAGCTAGAGAGCAGCCCCTGTTCTCCATAAATAGAGACGCTCCCAGTGAGAACCCCACGCAGCACAGCTAGAGAGCAGCCCGTGTTCTCCATAAATAGAGATGCCCCCAGTGAGAGCCCCACGCAGCACAGCTGGAGAGCAGCCCCTGTTCTCCATAAATAGAGACGCCCCCAGTGAGAACCCCGCGCAGCACGGCTGGAGAGCAGCCCGTGTTCTCCATAAATAGAGACACTCCCAGTGAGAACCCCGCGCAGCACAGCTAGAGAGCAGCCCGTGTTCTCCATAAATAGAGACGCCCCCAGTGAGAACCCCGCGCAGCACGGCTGGAGAGCAGCCCGTGTTCTCCATAAATAGAGACGCCCCCCCCCCCCAGTGAGAACCCCCGCCCAGCACAGCTGGAGAGCAGCCCGTGTTCTCCATAAATAGAGATGCCCCACCCAGTGAGAACCCCCGCGCAGCACAGCTAGAGAGCAGCCCGTGTTCTCAACAACCAGAGAAAAGCCCACGGGGCACTGGAGACCCAGTGTGGCCTCAGCAACCAAACAGCGTGTAAAGAGAGTGGATGCTGGCGTGATCCGGGAGGACGCCGTGTTAGGCCATCACCCGGCCTCCCCTGTGCGCCTCTGCTTTCACATGAGCTCTGCTGGTGCTCCGTCCCCAGGTGTGGGGGCCCCCCCAACAGTAACGTGTTACCATGACCCCAGCAGGGTCCTGCCTTGACCTGGTCTGGCACCATCTGCCTGGAGGCAGTCAGGGGCTTAGCCCTCGATCCTGCATCCTCTCCACGCCCCACCAGTCCCAGGGAGTGGGTCTCCAGGTCACCCACCGCTTTGGTCTGACTTACGTGCAAACTGGAGGTTCCCACAACCCCTTCCTCCCTTGGTTCTGTTAACACAGGTGAGCGGCCAGATGAAGAACAGCAAGGTGAGGTCGGGAGGGCCTCAGCACAGGAGCCTCAGTCCCCAGGAGGTGGGGGGGCTCGGCTCCCCAGGAGGTGTTTTCACCCGCCTGGGGCTCCTGAACCTGCACTTCGGGGGTTTTTATGGAAGCCTCATTGCTTAGGCACTGTTGATTTGATCCTTGGCTGTGGGTGATGGAAGCCCATCTAGCCCCACTCCCCAGAGGTCAGGGGTTGTTTCCCTGGCAACCAGCCCCCATCCTTAAGCAAACTGAGGGCTTTCCAAAGGTCACTCATCAACCTGACAGCAGCCCTGTGGTCCTTCCGTGATCAGGAAACCCCCAGAGTTTTAGGAGCTCTGCACTTGGGCCAGGCGGGGTCCAAGATCAAATGTCTGCTTCTTGTTACATTACTGCATCAACTGAGATAGTTGTTTCATTTCTGACAAAGATGACTCCTAAGGGAAAGAGCAAAATTACCCAAGATGGCAGTGGTCAGGCTCTCTCACCCCACGTGTTGTAAATAATGATTATGTAATAGCCAAGCTCACTTGCAGCACTGTGCATGCACGTCACCAAGTACCTGCTTGGCCGTGGGCCACCTCTGTCATGTAAGCACATGTAAGGTCCGTCTGGAAAGCCCTTGAGGCTGCATTATGGCCGCTGCCTCAGTCCGGAGAGAACAAATGTGTTTACAGTTCCTGTGATGCCTTGAGAATTCTCCCAGAAAGCACGCACCTTGCCTGCCCTGGGTTCAGTGAACAGTGAGATACAGCAGGACAGCCGCCATTACCTGTTTGAGCTGTCTGCAGGGACATGTCAGCTGTGCCCGCGATGCTATGTTTGGAGCGGTCGGGCGTGCAGTGCTAGGCACAGGAGCACACCTGTTCTCCGTCCATGCCATGTGTCAGACATGTGACCTCTGGGTCATGTCACCCACTTCTGCGCCCTTAGGAGGACGCCTCCCGGGTCAGGGGATGGGGAGGGTATGGAGGTCAGAAAGGAAGAGCTAGGGGCCTCTGAAGGGCCATCTCTCATCCTGTCAGCTCTCTGCTCACTCTTCTCACTGACTGCCTGCTCTTCATCATCATATCTGGTGGGAGTCTCACATCTAGACGTGTTCCTGCATGTCTAGATGTGTTCCCGCCTGTCTAGACATGTTCCTGTGTGTCTAGACATGTTTCCACGTGTCTAGATGTGTTCCCTCCTGTCTAGACCTGTTCCTGTGCGTCTAGATGTGCTCCCGCCTGTCTAGATGTGTTCCTGTGAGTCTAGATGTGTTCCTGCCTGTCTAGACGTGTTCCTGTGTGTCTAGACATATTCCTGTGAGTCTAGATGTGTTCCTGCCTGTCTAGACGTGTTCCTGTGTGTCTAGATGTGTTTCCTTCTGTCTAGACCTGTTCCCGTGCGTCTAGATGTGCTCCCGCCTTGTCTAGACGTGTTACTGCGTGTCTAGACCTGTTCCTGTGTTTCTAGATGTGTTCTCGCCTATCTAGATGTGTTTTGCTTTTCCAGCTTTGGATCTTCAGTTTGGTTGAGGGGCACCATTACCGCTGTGTGACGCATGTTGACCTCAGGAAAAAGAGAGAGAGTTTCTCCACTAGGAGGGCATAGTCCAAGCCAGGTACATGGCCAGGTGATGCCCTGCAGACCCTCTCATGGGGTTCATGCCCACAGCCCCCGTGAACAGGGGTGGGGGGAGAGGGGAAGCCGGGGACCTGGAACCAGGCAGGGCGTGGGGAGCAGATGGGGTCGGGGTGCTGGAGGCTTGTTCTGCTGCACAGAGGTCTCCTGCCCCTCCCACCTCCTGGGCTTCCTGGCTTCCATGGGTGGTGTCACAGCAGGGCGCCCCGGAGCCCGGGGTCCTCAGCTGAGTCTGCTTGGCTGGCCCGGCCCCTCCTCCTGCTTGTCACCCTCCACCTGTCCCCCTGGTCAGGTACTTGAGTATCTGCCACCACCACAGGAGGCGCCGACGTGCTGGGAAAGCTGTTGGTTTTACTGTTTAATTGGGCTGCTGGCTCTCTGTCATGGGTACCCACATCCATTCACTTTCATGTTGCAGCAAATGTCTCTCTGCTCCGCTCCCCTTCACGTTTATCATAGTTGTGCTCTTTCTTTTAGTGTGTGAGATACATATAACATGTATATTAGTTAATGGCTTTAAGCTATTTCTTCTTAAAGTGGGTCAGAAATTGCCCTTTTCTAGTGGATCTTGGGCTTCTCCTGGTGGCTCAGATGGTAAAGAATCCACCTGCAATGCAGGAGACCTAGGTTTGATTCCTGGGTTGGGAAGATCCCCTGGAGAAGGGAATGGCAACCCACACCAGTATTCTTGCCTGGAAATCCCATGGACCAAGGAGCCTGGTGGGCTGCAGTCCTTGGGGTCGAAAAGAGTCAGACACGGCTGAGCGACTAGCACACACAACGGATCTTGAGCCCACTTTCGGAACCCACAGTTAGTCTAAGCCGTTTCCTCATGCCCCCTTTCTGCAGGTTTGTCCTTCAAACTCCATCTCCCTCCCTTGCAGGCTCATGACACAGGGTCTGAGTTGTATTTCCAACCTTGTGCTTTATAATGTACAAGACCAAGGGTTTTTCTTGATTCATGATCTGAGTTACTCCAACAACATGCATCTCCCACAGTGCCCCACGGGGTCAGCTGTTATTAGCCTTTACTGTGACCAGTCATTTTAATGTAGCATCTCAGATTGTCAGTAATTCTGTCCTTAGAAGGTGGTCAGCCTCCGTCCACGAAGGCCCCAGAAACAGGAGAAGAGACTGAAGTGGCCCTTCCTATCCTGAGCCTGGCAGCCTGTGACTGTGGATTGTAAGTACTGTGAACTCCGCCAAGCCCTTATGGAGAAAGCCTCTTAGATTAGGCTCATTTTTTCTAGAATAATTAAAATAAAACCAAATTATTTTTGTCTGTATGAGTAATAATAACTGTAAGTGTTCTTAGAGTTGCATATTTTAAGCCTTAAGGTTGATAATCTTGATCAGTTATTTTTAACTCTATTTAATAAAGGAAATGAGATTATTTTAATTTTCTTCACTTTAATTTTCATTGATGCAGATCTTGACTTCTATAATAGGGGAAATGGTAACATTATCATAACTCATTCTAAACTTCCATCATCTGTGCCATATTTCATACCTTTAAATTTGACCCCAAATGAATTTTAGTTATTTCTTGTTTTGTAGAAATATTTTAAATATTTGGCAACATAAGTGAGCCACTGTTTTACCCTGACTAAGCAAATATGTCATGATTTCATTCCCCTTGGCTCCGCATAGACTGTGGAGAGCTCTGGCGTTGACCAAGGCCTGCCTTTGGTCCTGCTGGGGTGGGAACCCTGAGGAGGCGGCTGGTGCGGTTGCAGCCCTGCTGTGCTTCCCCATCCAGCAGCCGTGCCTGCACAGGGCCCCTGCCTGGCCTGGACTTGAGCTGACTGGGGGTCTGAGGCCTTGGCTCCCCACCTTTGCTAAGGGAGAGTGACCCTATTTCTGCTCAGGCTCACGTGGTCTCCCTGGGGCTGGTGTTGGAGGCTGAGGACCCATGAGCAGCCCAGGGAGTGGGGGCTGTTGGAGGCCTGGTGGCCAAGGTGTGCGTGGGAGGGAGGTGCCTGAAGACGCTGCTCTGGGTCCAGGTCTGCGAAGCCAGAGGAGGCCGGCCAGTCAGCTTACCACCTGTGTCTATTTTGTAAACCGGAAAACAAAGCAGCGGCGGCAGATCTGTCTGTCCCGGCGTGAATGCCGCTATTGGTCAGTCTCCGCTTCGTCAGCTCCGCTCAGCAGGGTCTTCAGGCACAGCCATGGCACAGCCATGGCGCAGGCGTGGGGCTGTGGCAGGGATGCCCACCTATGCGGGGCTCTCAGGGAGGCCGCAGATGCATACCTCTGGTGACCTTAGAGGAAAGGAAAGGCCCAGCTTGTGGCCCTCTGAGTTCTACCTTCCGTGGACAGTAGGGCCTAGGAAGCCCGCCCCAGGGACATGTTAGATGTCATCTGAGATGGGGGCGGCACCTAAGACTGGGGCAGGGGACCTTCAGGTTCCCCGAGGTCCGGGGTCTCTGCCGCCCTGGCTGAGGGGGGACAGTCAGCACACGCTTTTCTCTCTTCCTTTTGAAATCAGCCTCTCTGAGACTGGCAGCTGCTTATGGATTGGAAGCTCTGCTGGTTTGCTCATATTTAACCTGGCAAGCTTTGAACTGGAGGGCGTTTTACATTACAAGGGTAAGACCTATGTTCAGAGAATCCTTGATACAGGTAGTATGTAACTTGAATGTTTTCTTTTGTCTGACATTTGGGGGTCATGGTGGGTGCCCGTCACTGACCCCCAGGGACTAGGCTCCCAGGTCATCGTGTGCCACGCTGGCTGTCCTGACGCCCCCCCGCCCCCCAGCCCCGCCTGCAGCCCATTACCCCTGGTCCTCTGTCTCCCGTGTGTACCAGGCCCCTACCCCCTCCTCCTGGGGCCCAGCCACGTCCGGAACCTGAAGTTGGCCCTGTGTGTCCGCGCCTGGTCGCCCTCACAGCTGTTGGGCTGAGTGACAGTCTCCTCGCCCATCCCGGCATCCGCACGCCCTCAGGCTCGGTCCCCACCAGCCCCTGGGATGCGGGGAGACGAGGGACTGCTGCCCGCTGCCCCGTGTGCACATGGCCTGGCTATGTCTGCGCTGGCTTCTGTCCTGGTCCGCGCGGCTCCCCGAGGGCTCCGGGTTCGGACCCTCCTCCTGGGGAGCCACCTCCCTGTTGCCTGTCTGTGCACGTGGCCTCCGCTGGCCTGGCGCCTGGGCCTGCCCACTCCCGGCTGGTTTTCTGCCCTTTAAGGTCGCACGCCGTGTGCCGGCCTGGCTCGGAGTCCTCACGGGGACGTTGCGCCTCCCGCACTCCCGCGGCCCTGTGTGGAGTTTGGTCTGCAGGCTCGCGCCCGGGCGGTTCTGCAGGGGCAGCGGCCTGTGCGCTCTGTCCTCGCGGCCCCGGCCCCGGCCCCCGCCCGTGGACAGGCAGCACCTCGTGGCCTTACGCGTGGCCTGTTTTCTCCTTGCTGGGAATGAAGACTTCTGGAGCCTCAGCATTCAGGCCTCAGCATTCAGGTAGCTGGATCGTGTGCCGTGGCGAGCAGAACCGGCGGGCATGAGGTGAGTCGTGAGCCATGCCTGGGCGGTGTGCCTCTCCTGCTGCGGTTTATTCTCCCTTCTTCCGACATGCTCTCGCGGCCGCTCACTGTGTGAGGCTGTGTGTGAAGGTTCAGGGGTCACACGTGTCTGCACAGGACACCCATTAGCACAACTAAAGTCTGCCCACAACCACGACCGATTCTCTGAACCCTTCCGCGCAGGCCCTCTGCTTGCTCACGTCCATGTTCGGCAATGAGACGGCGCTGGTGGAGGTGGACCCTGCTGCTCTGCTGAGATCCCAGCAGCGCCCCCACCGCGGACCGGACCTGTCGGTGCTGCCCAGGTGCAGAGTTGTGCGAACCTGTCTTTAAGATGCACGTTTCCCTGAAACAAGTCCGCCATGCAAGTTTGCTGTCACAGACCAGGGCCTTGTTTTTATTTTAGCTCCTGTGTCTCACCGACCTCCCTGCTGTACTTGGGACTTAAGGAAAAAAGAACCAAGCCGGCTACTCAGAAACAAGTGGGTGAGTATCCCGTGGTCTGAAATGCAGGGTGTAGGGCGGCTCCTTGTCTGAGTCACGTTTGTTCAGCTTTACTCTGTCGATTTGTGGATTCACGTCCATCGAGGTGATGATTCAGTGCTTGCTTCTTCCGTTGCTCCTTCCTTTCTCATGTTCTGACACGGTTTTTGTGGTGGGGAATATGTTGGGCATTTCTTCGTGACTTGGGTATAATTCATAGGAATTCAAAACATGAAAAATATTGGCAGTGGTTTCTCTGGGTTGATCTCCTTTATGTTGACTAGTTTGATCTATTTGCAGTCCAAAGGACTCTCAAGAGTCCTCTCCAGCACCATAGTTCAAAAGTGTTAATTCTTTGGCATTCAGGCTTCTTTATGGTCCAGGTCTCACATCTGTACATGGCTACTGGAAGAACTATAGCTTTGACTATATGGACCTTTGTTTGCAAAGTGATATCTCTGATTTTTAATATGCTGTCTAGGTTGGTGATAGCTTTTGTTCCAAGGAGCAGGCATCTTTTAATTTCATGGCTGCAGGTACCGTCTGCAGTGATTTTGGAAGCCCAAGAAAGCAAAGTCTGCCACTGTGCTATTCAGTGGAAGCTTGTTGTTCGTCTGCGTTAGGGGCCTCCCTGGTGGTTCAGACAGTGAAGAGTCCGCCTGCATGCGGGAGACCCAGGTTCAATCCCTGGGTCAGGAAGAGCCCCTGGAGAAGGGAATGGCAGCCCACTCCAGTGTTCTTGCCTGAAGAAGTCCATGGACAGAGGAGCCTGGTGGGCTACAGTCCATGGGGTCAAAAAGAGTCAGACACGACTGAGTGACTAACGCTTTCCCTTTTTATCTATTTTATATATGGCAGTGTGCATCTCTTCACCTATTTCTTGTGTATACTTTTTATTGTAGTAAAATATAAATTGTATAAAATTTACCATCTTAACCATATTTATGTGTACAGTTCAGTGGCAGTAAGTAACTATAACTTTGGGCAACAGAAAAAGTCTTTTTGAATCATTTTCTTAAACAATACCCCAAGTAATGTTATGTTATGTGTAGATTTCCTTTAACATTTTTTGGGAAAACTTGTGGACTAACAAATATTAATTAAACTTGCTGTTCAGAAAATATTCCAAAATGCTAGCTATGTTCTCACTTGAAGCAGCTCACTTGCAGGGTGAACTTTGTGAAAAGTGATGCCGTCCCTTGTACCCTAGGAGCTCGGCTTGTTTTGTCAGCCGCACCGAGGACCACGCTCCCCGGTGTGAGCTGATAGCAGACCCTGTGTGGAGACCAGCTGTGAAACAAGACTTGGGACTGTCTTTCTTTTTTAACCAAATTCATTTACGTTTTGTTCTATAGATGTGTTTTACTTAGGTTGCCCCCTAAAATGGAATTTAAGCCTTTTATTTTATTATTTTAAATTTATTTTTAGTTGAAGTATTAGTTGATTTATAATATACCAATCCCTGCAGTACAGCAGAGTGACTCAGTTTTACACAGATATGTGTATATATATATATATATATTTAAATACTTATCCCAGGAGATTGGGTGTAGTTGTTCCTTGTGCTACACAGTAGGACCTTGTTGTTTATCCATTCTGAATGGTGTGTGTGTGTGTGTGTGTGTGTGTGTGTGATGTCCTAGTCTTTGCTATCACACGGACTGTAGCCCACCAGGCTCCTCTGTCCATGGAATTCTCCAGACAAGAATACTGAGTGGGTTGTCATTCCTTCTCCAGGGAATCTTTCCAACCTTGGGATGAAACCAAAGTCTCCTGAATTACAGTTTCTTTACTGCTTGAACCATCAGGGAAGTCCCCTAAGTGTAACATCCTTTCTGCTAATCCCAAATTCTCAGTCTACCCCTCCCCCTGCACCCCTCTTGGTAACCACCATTCTGATCTCTGTGTCAGTGAGTCTGTTTCTGTTTTGAGAATAGGTTCATTTGTGTCATATTTTAGATTCCAAATAGAAGTGATGCCATGTGATATTGTCTCTGTCTGACCTACTTCATTTACTATCATCTGCAGGTCCATCTATGTTGCTGCAGATGGCATTATTTCATTCTTTTTATGGCTGAGTAATATCCCACTGTATAAAGGCACCACATTTCTTTATCCATTCATCTGCCCGTGCACATTTAGGTCATTTTCTTGTCTTGGCTGTTGTGAACAGTGCTGCTGTGAACATAGGAGTGTGTTTATCTTTTTGAATGATAGTTTTGTCCAGGTTTTTTTATTTTTTTGGTTTCATGGCAAGGATCTTGCAGGATCTTAGCTCCTCAACCAGAATTTGAACCTGGGCCCTGGAAGTGAAAAGTACTGAGGTCTCACCACTGGACTGACAGGGAATGCCCTACTAAGATGTATCATTTTGTTCCAGATGACTGTACATGCTGTACTTTGCTTCACAGCTAAATAATATGTAGATTGTAAAACAAAATTTTAGTGAGAACAGTTGTATAAACAGTAAGGTTTATTACAGAGATTATAATTTCTCTGTATCCAGGGACTTTTTATGATAGCTTTATGTGTTGTTTAGAAAATATTCATATATAATATTACAGAAGATGACTGATTTATGGTGATTTTGTAATCTCAAAATTTGCACCCCTCCTCTTATAAAAGCATAATAGAATTTTTAATAGTTTTTTTTTTCCTGTAATTGAGATCTAACCTTACTGCATTGTGGTCAGAAAAGACGACTGGAATGATTTCAATTTTTTTGAATTTACCAAGGCTAGATTTATGGCCTAGGATGTGATCTGTTCTGGGGAAGGTTCTGTGTGCACTTGAGAAAAAGGTGAAATTGATTGTTTTGGGCTGAAATGTCCTATAGATATCAATTAGGTCTAGCTGGACTATTGTGTCATTTAAAGTTTGTGTTTCCTTGTTAATTTTCTGTTCAGTTGATCTGTCCATAGGTGTGAGTGGGGTATTAAAGTCTCCCACTATTATTGTGTTATTGTTAATTTCCCCCTTCATTCTTACTAGCATTTGCCTTACATATTGCAGTGCTCCTATGTTGGGTGCATATATATTTATAATTGTTATATCTTCTTCTTGGATTGATCCTTTTATCATTATGTAGTGTCCTTCTTTGTCTCTTTTCACAGCCTTTATTTGAAAGTCTATTTTATCTGATATGAGTATTGCGACTCCTGCTTTCTTTTGGTCTCCATTTGCGTGAAATATTTTTTTCCAGCCCTTCACTTTCAGTCTGTATGTGTCCCTTGCTTTGAGGTAGGTCTCTTGTAGACAGCATATATAGGGGTCTTGCTTTTGTATCCATTCAGCCAGTCTTTGTCTTTTGGTTGCGACATTCAACCCATTTACATTTAAGGTAATTATTGATAAGAATGGTCCTGTTGCCATTTGGTTTGTTGTTTGGGGTTCACGTTCATACAGCCTTTCTGTGTTTCCTGTCTAGAGAAGATCCTTTAGCATTTGTTGAAGAGCTGGTTTGGTGGTGCTGAATTCTCTCAACTTTTGCTTGTCTGTGAAGCTTTTGAATTCTTCATATCTGAATGAGATCCTTGCTGGGTACAGTAATCTGGGTTGTAGGTTATTCTCTTATGACTTTAAGTATGTCCTGCCATTCCCTTCTGGCCTGAAGAGTTTCTATTGAAAGATCAGCTGTTATCCTTATGGGAATCCCCTTGTGTGTTATTTGTTGTTTCTCCCTTGCTGCTTTTAATATTTGTTCTTTGTGCTTGATCTTTGTTAATTTGACTAATATGTGTCTTGGGGTGTTTTGCCTTGGGTTTATCCTTTTTGGGATTCTCTATGACAAACCCACAGCAAACATTATTATCCTCAATGGTGAAAAATTGAAAGCATTTCCCTTAAAGTCAGGAACAAGACAAGGGTGTCCACTCTCACCACTACTATTCAACATAGTTTTGGAAGTGTTGGCCACAGCAATCAGAGCAGAAAAAGAAATAAAAGGAATCCAGATAGGAAAAGAAGAAGTAAAACTCTCACTGTTTGCAGACGACATGATCCTCTACATAGAAAACCTTAAAGACTCTACCAGAAAATTACTACAGCTAATCAATGAATACAGTAATGTTGCAGGATGTAAAATTAACACACAGAAATCCCTTGCATTCCTATACGCTAACAATGAGAAAACAGAAAGAGAAATTAAGGAAACAATACCATTCACCATTGCAACAAAAAGAATAAAATACTTATGAGTATATCTACCTAAAGAAATGAAAGACCTATACATAGAAAACTATAAAACACTGATGAAAGAAATCAAAGAGGACACAAATAGATGGAGAAATATACCATGTTCATGGATTGGAAGCATCAATATTATGAAAATGGTTATACTACCCAAAGCAATCTATAGATTCAATGCAATCCCTATCAAGCTACCAACGGTATTTTTCACAGAACTAGAACAAATAATTTCACAATTTGCATGGAAATACAAAAAACCTCGAATAGCCAAAGCATTCTTGAGAAAGGAGAATGGAACTGGAGGAATCAACCTGCCTGACTTCAGGCTTTACTACAAAGCCACAGTCATCAAGACAGTATGGTACTGGCACAAAGACAGAAATATAGATCAATGGAACAGAACAGAAAGCCCAGAGATAAATCCACGAACCTATGGACACCTTATCTTTGACAAAGGTGGCAAGGATATACAATGGAAAAAAGACACCCTCTTTAACAAGTGGTGCAGGGAAAACTGGCCAACCATTTGTAAAAGAATGAAACTAGAACACCTTCTAACACCATACACAAAAATAAACTCAAAATGGATTAAAGATCTAAATGTAAGACCAGAAACTATAAAATTTCTAGAGGAGAACATAGGCAAAACACTCTCCGACATAAATCACAGCAGGATCCTCTATGACCCAACCTCCCAGAATATTGGAAATAAAAGCAAAAATAAACAAATGGGACCTAATTAAACTTAAAAGCTTTTGCACAACAAAGGAAACTATAAGCAAGGTGAAAAGACAGCCCTCAGAATGGGAGAAAATAATAGCAAACGAAGCAACAGACAAAGGATTAATCTAAAAAATATACAAGCAACTCCTGCAGCTCAATTCCAGAAAAATAAATGACCCAATCAAAAAATGGGCCAAAGAACTGAACAGACATTTCTCCAAAGAAGACATACAGATGGCTAACAAACACATGAAAAGATGCTCAACATCACTCATTATCAGAGAAATGCAAATCAAAACCACAATGAGGTACCAATACATGCCAGTCAGGATGGCTGCTATCCAAAAGTCTACGAGCAATAAATGCTGGAGAGGGTGTGGAGAAAAGGGAGCCCTGTTACACTGTTGATGGGAATGCAAACTAGTACAGTCACTATGGAAAACAGTGTGGAGATTCCTTAAAAATCTGGAAATAGAACTGCCATATGACCCAGCAATCCCACTGCTGGGCATACACGCCGAGGAAACTAGATCCGAAAGAGACATGTGCACCCCAGTGTTCATCACAGCACTGTTTATAATTGCCAGGACATGGAAGCAACCTAGATGCCCATCAGCAGACGAATGGATAAGGAAGCTATGGTACATATACACAATGGAATATTACTCAGCCATTAAAGAGAATTCATTTGAATCAGTTCTAATGAGATGGATGAAACTGGAACCCATTATACAGAGTGAAGTAAGCCAAAAATATAAGGACCAATACATTATACTAACACATATAAATGGACTTTAAAAAGATGGTAACGATAACCCTATATGCAAAACAGAAAAAGAGACACAGATGTACAGAACAGACTTCTGGACTCTCTGGGAGAAGGCGAGGGTGGGATGATCTGAGAGAACAGCATTGAAACAAGTATACTATCAAGGGTGAAACAGATCACCAGCCCAGGTTGGATGCATGAGACAAGTGCTCAGGGCTGGTGCACTGGGAAGGCCCAGGGGGATAGGATGTGGAGGGAGGTGGGAGAGGGGATCGGGATGGGGAATACATGTAAATCCATGGCTGATTCATGTCAGTGTATGGCAAAAACCACTACAATATTGTGAAGTAATTAGCCTCCAACTAATAAAAATAAATGAAAAAAAAAAGCATAATAGATATAGCAAGGTTTCCTGGTCCCTCTGGGTGCATCTTGATTTCCAGTCCCTCCCAAGGGCCTCCAGGGGCCCAGCTCCCTCCTCGGGGCCTCCGTGTCCAGTGGGGTTCCCTGAGCTTTTGATGGGAATGTGTCTCAGTTTATCACGTTTGAAATAGTTCCAAAGGCAGAGCTGAATTTCTTTGTTTTGAATAAAAGAGAACTGTTTTTAGGAGTATTCAATATTATGTAATTATCCATTTTCTAAAGCTGTTTTATAATATTGTACAGAATATTAATATTGAATAGCAAGTATCATATATACATAAAAATGAGTAATTCTGGCAGGAGTTTATTCTGTCTGAAAGCACCCATGGGACGTGTCCGTGTCGGTGGTAAGTTCCTGAGGTGTCAGAGCTCTAACCAGCCAGCTGAGCCGTGGAAGCTTACAGTGTGTTAAAAATAGGGTAAGGTGCTTCCTTGCCATTAAAATGCTCTGAGGGCTGGTCTTTCTTACTGTTGTGTCGTGATAAACACAGGCATGAGAGAGACACTTGGTTGGCTTAAGAGACTTGCATTCCCGTTGTAGGGGAGCTGTACCTGGCACTGGCCGAGGCTCTTGCTCCATGCTGCGGGTTTCAGGGTCCCGTGGACAGAAGCCCACCGGCCAGGTTCTATGTGGCCTGTCTCAGCCCAGAACGGACAGCCTCTTCCAGGCGTGCCAGGAGGGGCCGCGCTGTGGGAAAGGCTGACGTTTTAGCCCTTGAATATCTGAAATACACAGTGTTCAACACTGTGATTCAGGTCATTTAAGGAGGAAAATCACCTTGTCATTGTTTTCTTGTACTTTTCATGCCCTTGGTCTCCCTCTCTGCTGGTGGTGTTGGTTTGTCGTCAGGTATGCAGCCTCTCCTGTCTGTAGGGTGTGCACTGCCTCCTCTTGTGTGAACTTGGCTGTCTCTGCAGAGCTTTGTCCTTATCCATGATGAAGCAGCTGTGTTAATGACTTGCTTCTTCTGTAACTGAGTTTCCTGCAGCTGCTCGGAGCGTCGTGAAGGACCACCCACTGGTTTTCCACAGCAAAATTCAGTCGTCGGGCTACACGGCTGCCCCATGGTGAGTGGACCACCCAGAGACAGACCATGGCCTCTGGGCGCAGGTGCTGGTATGGATGGAGGTGGGCGTGTGGACCCCAGCATGTCACCATCGCAGAACAGAAGTGGCAGTAGCATTTATTGAGTGCTTACTATCTACTTTGGGGCTTCCCTGATAGTTCAGTTGTCAAAGAATCCGCCTGCAATGCAGGAGGTGGATGGGTGGCTGGATGGATGGATGAATGGGTGGATGGATCAGTGGGTGGGTGGGTGTATGGATGGATGGATGAATGGATGGGTATATGGGTGGGTAGATGGATGGGTGGATGGTTAGATGGATGGATGGGTGGGTGGGTGGATGGGTGGATAGATGGATGGATGGATGAGTGGATGGATGGGTGGGTGGGTGGATATATAGATGGATGAGTGGATGGATGGATAGGTCAGTGGGTGGATGGATCAGTGGGTAGATGGGTGGCTGGGTGGCTGGCTGGGTGGGTTGTTGGATGGGTGGGTGGATGGATGAATGGGTGAGTGGATCAGTGGGTGGATGGGTGGGTGGTGCATGGATAGGTCCTGGATTCATGCCTCCGTATAACTGCACACTAGTCCAGGCCCCGAGCCTGTGTGCTCGCTCCACGGTGGTGCCGTCTGCTAAGTGTGGACTCCTCGGGTTCACGGTACTTGGCTGGGTCTTTCATGTGGGGCCTGTGAGGGAGGCCAGGGGGAGGAGGAACCAGGCCGTGGTTGGTCCTGAGTACTAGCCCCGGGGCTTGGACTTTCTAGGAAAAGTACAGGGAAAGTCTAGATGGGGTCATGGGGCGAGGGTGTGTTTCACTGTGACATCCTGGAGGCCGTGAGGACAGACGGGGAGGTGGTGAGGCTGACGGACTGCCTGCCTCCCTGCCTGGGTGCTTTTTCCTCCTGAGACCTCACCCAGCTCCCACCGCCCTCACCCAGCCTCCCTGGACCCTGTGCTCTGGGTGGGTGAGCCCCCCGCCCTAGCCCAGTCCTCACAGCCACATGTCCGTGTCCTCACCTGCCTCATCTCAGTCTGCTCTGGGTCATTGCCCAGGGGACTTGCAGATTCTGCAGCACATGTAGCCCCCTCCTCCCGACTTGTCTCTCTCCCAGGGCTCCAGACCTGAAGCTGACATGTGGGGTTGCCCTGCATGCCTGGCTGCAAAGTGATTATCTTAGTTTTTGTCTAGGAACCCAGAATTTGTAGGTAAATAGCACAGGGTTCTCCAGAATTTTAATACACAAATACACTTATGTCCCCATTAGTAAAATAGCTGATATGGATATAGAATTAGAGGAATGCTGTCAAAATTAAAGTGATTAAATGTTTAGTTTATTACTAACTTGGGACATGGGAAGCATTTATGTATTTATGTTTATTTTTTTCACTGCAAAATAGGTCTCTTAAGCTTAGAAGTTTTAATCTTTGAGTGACATAGAGTTCTTCTTTCCACAGTGCAACTATGTTTTCACCAAAGACTAATTTCAAAAATGATGGTAAAAGAGCTTCAAAATGCAAAAACAATTACAGGTGGTATGTAACCTAGTTTGTGCATTCCAAGTAAATTTTAGATAATTTGGAAGAACTCTTTAGATACTTTATTTTTTTCAAACAGATATAAGACCCTTTAAGTACATATGTGTAAGTATGTACATGTACACATACATATATTTATATATTATTTTTGTATCTATCTGTTCTTTTAGTTAAATTTAATTCATATTAATCATTTTTCAGACATGCTGCTGTTTTTATCACCTCAACTATTTAGAAGCATTTAATTTTTGTTTTAAGTTTCATTTTGGAGAGCCTCATAGCTAACGATTATCCTGATAAGCGTCTTAGGTGGTAGTTGGGCAGGAAGTCTGAGTAGGCATGGTGCTCGGTGCCATTCTGGGTGGCCTGCGATGGGCTCATTGACTTGGAAATGCTTCCTTCATCCAGCGACCCTCAGCCCAGGGCTAGCTGCCCGGCTCTGTGTCCACACCTATCCCCGTGTCCCATGATGGTGGACGAGTTCTGCAGATTCCCTGGCTCCGTTTCTCTGGACAGGAAGGTTCTGCTGTTAGAGGTGATGCCATCTATGCAGAGATGGTGGGCTGTGGCACTTGAGCTGCTGCTCATTCCAGTGAGCCTTGCCGCTGCGCCTGCTGTCGCTGGCTCACAAGATGCTGCTGGGCCTGACTTGCTCACGTTTAGTCGCGTGATTTGGTCCTCTTCCTGCCCCTGTCTGCTGTTGCCATGTCAGCAGGCCACTGCTGCTGAGTAGCTGTCTCCACCAGACGCCCTCACGCCCCGTCAGGCCCTCTCGAGCATCTGTGGCCTAGGATGGAGTGCAGCCCTGGGCTTTGCTGAGCTTGGGTTTCCTGTGGTGGTTTTTCCAGGGAGTTAAAAAAAAATTTTTTTTATCATAAAGGATGTTGAATTTTGTCAAATGCTTTTTATGCATCTATTGAGGTGATTGTGTTGTTTTTTATCATCTTTTTAATGTGGTATATCACATTGATTTGTGAGTACCAAACCATCTTTGCATCTCTGGAATGAATCCCACTTTATCATGTATGATCCTTTATATACATTGTTAAATTCAAATTTGTAATATTTTGTTGAGGATTTTGCGTCTATATTCATCAATGATATTGGCCTATAATTTTTTTGTAGCATCTTTGTCTGGTTTGGGTATCAGGGTGATGGTGGTGTTATAGGTAAATTTGGGAGTGTTTCATCTTGTCAAGTTTTTGTAGTAATTTGAGAAGGATAGGAATTAGCTCATCTTTATGTGTTTGGTAGAATTCCCCCATGAAGTTGTTCAGTTCTGGACTTTTTGTTTGCTAGGAGTTTTTAAATCACTAATAAAATCTTACTACTAGTAATCCATCTATTCACATTGTGTATTTCTTCCTGATTTAGTTTTGGAAGGTTGCATGATTCCAGAAGTTCATCCATTTCTTCTAGGTGATCTAGTTTATTGGCACTAACTGTCGGCAGTATTCCCTAATGACATTTTCTACCTCTGTGGTGTTGGTTTTTAGTTCTCCCCTTTCACTTCTTATTTAATTTATTTGGGCCTCTCTCTTCTCTTCTTGATAGCCTGGCTAAAGATTTCTGTTTTGTTTTGTCTTTTCAAAAAAACAGTTCTTGTTTTGCTGATCTTTTCTATTGTTTTTTGGTCTCTATTTTATTTCCTCTATAATCTTTACTGTTTCCTTTCTTTTGCTGACTTTAGGCTTTGTTTATTCTTCTGTTTCTGGTTCCTTTAGGTGGAAGATTAGATTGTTTTTTTGAGATTTTTCTTGTTTCTTGAGGAAGGCCTGTGGCACTATAAAACTTCCCCTTTTATAACTTATTTTGCTGCATCCCATAAATTTTTGGAAAGTTGTGTTTTCATTTTGGTTTGTCTTGAGGTATTTTCTGATTTTTCCTTTGATTTATTCATTGGCCCATTTGTTTTTTAGTAACTTATTGTTTAGTGTTTGTGCTTCTCACATTTTTCTTCCTGTAATTGATTTACAGTTTCACAATATTATGTTTTGAAAAAATGCTTGATGTAATTGCTGTCCTCTGTCTCATGCTGAGACTTGTTTTGTAGCCCAGAATATGATCTATCCTGGAGGATGTTCCATGTGTACTTGAAAAGGATGTGTATTTTGCTATTTTTGGATGGGGAATGTCCTGTAGGTATCTCTTAAGTCCAACTGGTCTGTTGTGTCATTTAAAACATGTTTCCTTATTGATTTTCTTTCTGGATGCTTTGTCCTTTGATGTCAGTGGGGTGGTAAAGTCTCCTAGTATTATTGTATTGTTGTTAATTTCTCCCTTTATGTCTGTTAATATTTGCTTTATATATTTAGGTGCTATTTTATTGAGTTCATGTGTGTTAATGAGTATAATATCTTTTTGTATTGATCCCTTTATCATTATATAATGCCATTGTTTATTTTTTAATAACCTTTATTTTAAAGTCTGTTTGGTCTGATTTGAGTATTGCTACTACTATCTTGTTTCCATTTTCATGAAATATGTTTTTCTATCCCCTCATTTTCAGTCTGTGTATGTCTTTAGCTCTGAAATGAGTCTCCTATAGGCAGCATATACATATTATTTCATGGTTCTGAATGTAAGAGTTTATATACACACACACACACACATATATATATATAAATGTTGTGGAATAAAATTATACATGTAAATAGGGAAACACTCACCTTATTTCTAGTATATTTTTTATTTCTAATGTTACTTTGGACTGTCTCAATTATTTTCTCTGACCTTCCTTGAAGTAAGGAGTACCCTTTGGAGAGCCCTCCACCCAGCAAGCTGAGCAAGCAGCTGGCCATGGCCCACGACCAGGCTGCCCTGCTCTGTATTCAGTGTTCAGGTATGCTGCTCCAGCCAGAGCTGTGCTTCACTGCAAGTTTCTTGTTTTGCCCATTGTTCCATTTTAAATAGATTTTTTAAATCTTGGTTGTTTGAAGTCATATGACATTGTTTGAGTCTAGATTAAAATCAAAGCTTGCTTCCTGGAAAGTCACTGGGATTAGCCCAGGGCGTCCACGCATGCCCTGCAGCGTCTGGCAGCAGGAGCTCTGGTTTGGTTATTAGCTGTTCCAGGTCTGAGCTCTGAGTACGTGGTGTCTCCTCCATGAGCCCCAAGGGAGCCTGGCAGGAGCGCTGCATATAGAGGCTGGTTCATCCAAAGAGAGGCTACAGAAGAGCCGCCACTGCCCCCTGGAGACCTGGTCTCCTGGTTCTTCGGTGGGTGGAGCCTCCCTCCGGGCACACTTGGCCCCTGGCAACCACTCCCTCTCAAGGGCGACCGGACACCTTTATTTCCTTTCTGTGAACTTAAAGAAGTCAGGAGGCAGCTCTCATCCAGGTAGCTCCACTATTTAAGCTCTTTTCAGAGTTAAACATCATTTCTGGTCTCTAGATTTACTTACAGGTGAGAATATGCCTTTGCCCAAGTCCAGGGTCTGTCTGTGCACCAGCCCCCACCCCCACCTCCTTGAGTATTTGACCAGCCGTCTGCCCAAATCCGAAAGGTTACTGACTTCCTTTTGTTTTTTTTCATAGAATTCCAGCCAGCCAAAGAATTTTTTGAATAATTTTGGGAAATTAGACATGTAGTATTATCAGTAAATATTTCTGTGATATTTGATATGCTTACCAAGCACGTGACCATAAAAGTGGGATCCTCAGGTTTGAATATTATGGGGGAAATGTATAATTTGTGATGCCTTACTTTTGGGCACTGTATGATGGAATGGCTGAGGCAGATATGCCCCTGAGAGGAGGCTGGGAGGCGGGGAGGCTGGCTGCTCTGGGCGTCCCAGCAGGTTCAGGTTCAGACCCCAGTGCCACCTCTGACCAGCCCCACGTCCTGGGCAGGCCCCTCAGCCCCAGCCTTCGGCTCCTGTCCATAGAAGCTGGGCGTGACGTGAGCCCCTGGTGGGCCCTGCACGCCCAGCAGCTGGGAGTCAAGGAAACACCATTACCTGTTTCAGGTTTCCTCACTTTCTGAGAAAACAGACATCAGGTTAACTGAAAAATTCTATAATTTCACCTGTTGCAAGCGTGGTGCCTCTGAGTTATGATTTATAAGGAGTTTTTCTTACTTTCTCAAGCAGGAGATGGACAGCGGCTGGCCTGTGGCTTAGCCAACCACTTGTCCCTGGTCTGCAATGCTGATCTTACTGGGACGCCTGCTGTTTTGTCAGGTAAGATGTAGAATTTTAGTTAATGTGGATTTGTGAGTGTTTTTCTCTTGTTACCAAGTCAGGTCCTTTTGCCAGACACTGAGGCAAACACTGAGATGCCAAGGTTTGCAGCAGAGGAAGGGTTTACACAAGGGAGCCAAGCGAGGAGCTGGGAGGGCAGAGCTCAGCCCTGCTCCCCGAGGTGGGGCCGGGCACTTACAGGACCGAGAGGCAGGGTGGTCTTTGGGGTGGGTGCCGGGGTGGGAGGTAGGGACCGGGCGAGGCAGTTGTGTGCAGCACAGACAGCTTAGGGTTTCATGCTGCTTTGTGGGATTCACGTTCAGAAGCAGAGGCGCCCGCCACGAGGCGAGGGCGGCGCTCTGGGCCCTGATGTCAGGAGGTCGTCCATCAGACGCCTGCACAGGCCTCATTTTAGGGTCAGTGGTCCCAACAGGCTTGGCTGGCTACACACAGCTGATTCCACAGTCCTGGAAACCAGCTTAAGTCCCTGTAACTATAGGGACCCATATGTCAGAGGCATTATCTGTTGGGGTGGTTATAGGGTGAGCTTGCTCAGTGAGGGTGGTAACTGGTGGAGGGTTTCTGACGCACGTCCCTCACCTGCTGTTCTGTCGGACGAGCTCACAGATTTCTGATGGTCACGGTTCCTGTTTGCCCTGTGGGCGTAGCTTCAGCATGACTTTTTTAATCCTCTGGGACACAAATTCAGTCTCATGGTCCTGTTGTTAATCTGCAAGCACCACACTTGTTCCTTTCAAACAAGAACAGACTAGAGCTGTGGCTGACTTGGGGAACGAAATGACCGGATTCCGCCGAACCCTGCTGAGCTGAGCAGGGTGAGCATCGCTTGTGGGGCCAGACCTGGAGGCATGTTTGTGGAAGGGATCCCGTGGTGCTCAGTTAAAATCCATCTTGGAGATCTCCACTTCTGAGAGCACCGGTGATGCATCACAGTGTGATGACCACGGATCCCAGTGGGTGTCATACACTGGTAGGGTCTGTGTTCATGCTTTAGACTTGACAGTGTTTCCCGTCCAACATGGCTGTCTAGTCCGTGGATGCCGGGGGCCCGGAGCCGACCCTTCCCTGAGGGTGCACCTGGCACCTGGTGGCCACGGCTGGACGGGTCTGAGTGCCACCCGGGAGGACCACCCCTCGTGTTGGGCGGAGGGCAAGGGATGTAGCAGCTAAACCCTGGGGTCAGTCACTTCAGAAGGTCAAGCTGATTAAGATTTCATTAAGTGCAGTGGAGTTGTGGACACACGAAGTCCTGTGAAGGGGTGGCACTGAGCCTGTAACTCCTGCTGTCTCTCGAGTTCGGCGTCTGTCTGAGGCCCGCTGGCCCCCTGCCATGGTCCTTCCTGTTGGTGGGCACCTGCAGCCTGGTCCCCAGCCTCCACCATTGGTCCTGGGGGAGGCTGGGGTCAGGGCTGTGTGTCCTGGAGGGGGGGTGCTGGGGTGAGGGCTGTGTGTATCCTGTTGGGGAGGCTGGGGTCAGGGTTGTGTGTCCCGGGGGAGGGCTGGGGTCAGGGCTGTGTGTCCTGGGGGGGAGGGCTGGGGTCAGGGCTGTGTGTCCTGGGGGAGGCTGGGGTCAGGGCTGTGTGTCCTGGGGGAGGGCTGGGGTCAGGGCTGTGTGTCCCGGGGGAGGGCTGGGGTCAGGGCTGTGTGTCCTGGGGGAGGGCTGGGGTCAGGGTTGTGTGTCCTGGGGGAGGGCTGGGATCAGGGCTGTGTGTCCTGGGGGAGGGCTGGGGTCAGGGCTGTGTGTCCCGGGGGAGGGCTGGGGTCAGGGCTGTGTGTCCTGGAGGGGGGGTGCTGGGGTCAGGGCTGTGTGTCCTGGGGGAGGCTGGGGTCAGGGTTGTGTGTCCTGGGGGAGGCTGGGGTCAGGGCTGTGTGTCCTGGAGGGGGGGTGCTGGGGTCAGGGCTGTGTGTCCTGGGGGAGGCTGGGGTCAGGGTTGTGTGTCCTGTGGGGGAGGGCTGGGGTCAGGGCTGTGTGTCCTGGGGGAGGCTGGGGTCAGGGTTGTGTGTCCTGGGGGAGGGCTGGGGTCAGGGCTGTGTGTCCTGGGGGAGGGCTGGGGTCAGGGCTGTGTGTCCTGGGGGAGGCTGGGGTCAGGGCTGTGTGTCCTGGGGGAGGCTGGGGTGAGGGCTGTGTGTCCTGGGGGAGGGCTGGGGTCAGGGCTGTGTGTCCTGGGGGAGGGCTGGGGTCAGGGTTGTGTGTCCCGGGGGAGGGCTGGGGTCAGGGCTGTGTGTCCTGGGGGAGGGCTGGGGTCAGGGTTGTGTGTCCTGGGGGAGGGCTGGGATCAGGGCTGTGTGTCCTGGGGGAGGGCTGGGGTCAGGGCTGTGTGTCCCGGGGGAGGGCTGGGGTCAGGGCTGTGTGTCCTGGGGGAGGGCTGGGGTCAGGGCTGTGTGTCCCGGGGGAGGGCTGGGGTCAGGGCTGTGTGTCCTGGGGGAGGGCTGGGGTCAGGGTTGTGTGTCCTGGGGGAGGCTGGGGTCAGGGCTGTGTGTCCTGGGGGAGGGCTGGGGTCAGGGTTGTGTGTCCTGGGGGAGGGCTGGGATCAGGGCTGTGTGTCCTGGGGGAGGGCTGGGGTCAGGGCTGTGTGTCCCGGGGGAGGGCTGGGGTCAGGGCTGTGTGTCCTGGGGGAGGGCTGGGGTCAGGGCTGTGTGTCCTGGGGGAGGGCTGGGATCAGGGCTGTGTGTCCTGGGGGAGGGCTGGGATCAGGGCTGTGTGTCCTGGGGGAGGCTGGGGTGAGGGCTGTGTGTCCTGGGGGAGGGCTGGGGTCAGGGCTGTGTGTCCTGGAGGGGGGGGTGCTGGGGTCAGGGCTGTGTGTCCTGGGGGAGGGCTGGGGTCAGGGCTGTGTGTCCTGGAGGGGGTGGTGCTGGGGTCAGGGTTGTGTGTCCTGTGGGGGAGGGCTGGGGTCAGGGTTGTGTGTCCTGGGGGAGGCTGGTGTCAGGGTTGTGTGTCCTGGAGGGGGGGTGCTGGGGTCAGGGCTGTGTGTATCCTGTTGGGGAGGCTGGGGTCAGGGTTGTGTGTCCTGGGGGAGGCTGCGGTCAGGGTTGTGTGTCCTGTGGGGGAGGGCTGGGGTCAGGGCTGTGTGTCCTGGGGGAGGGCTGGGGTCAGGGCTGTGTGTCCTGGAGGGGGGGTGCTGGGGTCAGGGCTGTGTGTCCTGGGGGAGGCTGGGGTCAGGGTTGTGTGTCCTGTGGGGGAGGGCTGGGGTGAGGGCTGTGTGTCCTGGGGGAGGGCTGGGGTCAGGGTTGTGTGTCCTGGGGGAGGGCTGGGATCAGGGCTGTGTGTCCTGGGGGAGGGCTGGGATCAGGGCTGTGTGTCCTGGGGGAGGGCTGGGGTCAGGGTTGTGTGTCCTGGGGGAGGTTGGGGTCAGGGTTGTGTGTCCTGGGGGAGGCTGGGGTCAGGGTTGTGTGTCCCGGGGGAGGGCTGGGGTGAGGGCTGTGTGTCCCGGGGGAGGCTGGTGTCAGGGTTGTGTGTCCTGGAGGGGGGGTGCTGGGGTCAGGGTTGTGTGTATCCTGTTGGGGAGGCTGGGGTCAGGGCTGTGTGTCCTGGGGGAGGGCTGGGGTCAGGGCTGTGTGTCCTGGAGGGGGGGTGCTGGGGTCAGGGCTGTGTGTCCTGGGGGAGGGCTGGGGTCAGGGCTGTGTGTCCTGGGGGAGGCTGGTGTCAGGGTTGTGTGTCCTGGAGGGGGGGTGCTGGGGTCAGGGTTGTGTGTATCCTGTTGGGGAGGCTGGGGTCAGGGTTGTGTGTCCCGGGGGAGGGCTGGGGTGAGGGTTGTGTGTCCTGGGGGAGGGCTGGGGTCAGGGTTGTGTGTCCTGGGGGAGGCTGCGGTCAGGGTTGTGTGTCCTGGGGGAGGCTGGTGTCAGGGTTGTGTGTCCTGGAGGGGGGGTGCTGGGGTGAGGGCTGTGTGTCCTGGGGGAGGGCTGGGGTCAGGGTTGTGTGTCCTGGGGGAAGCTGGGGTGAGGGCTGTGTGTATCCTGTTGGGGAGGCTGGGGTCAGGGTTGTGTGTCCTGTGGGGGAGGGCTGGGGTCAGGGTTGTGTGTCCTGGGGCAGGTTGGGGTCAGGGTTGTGTGTCCTGGGGGAGGCTGGGGTGAGGGCTGTGTGTATCCTGTTGGGGAGGCTGGGGTCAGGGCTGTGTGTCCTGGGGGAGGGCTGGGGTCAGGGTTGTGTGTCCTGGGGGAGGCTGGGGTGAGGGCTGTGTATCCTGTTGGGGAGGCTGGGGTCAGGGTTGTGTGTCCTGGGGCAGGTTGGGGTCAGGGTTGTGTGTCCTGGGGGAGGTTGGGGTCAGGGTTGTGTGTATCCTGTTGGGGAGGGCTGGGGTCAGGGTTGTGTGTCCTGGGGCAGGTTGGGGTCAGGGTTGTGTGTCCTGGGGGAGGTTGGGGTCAGGGTTGTGTGTCCTGTTGCTCTTTTTCTCGAGCATGTCCTGCTGTCCACACCCGGGGCGTCAGTCATCAGAGGCGGGAGCCGTCCGCTGTGGCTGTGGGGAGAAGATATGAGGAAAGGGGGTCTGGCGGGGTCCCCAGGGGGCACGTGGCTCAGCCAGGGGGGGGTCTCTGCGCTCACCCTGAGGCCAGTGTCTGCACAGGCCTTGGGATCCTGGTGCTTCTGGTGTCCAGGGCGGAGCTTGGAGGAGAAGGTGCCGTTGGGGTCCTGTGGTCCCTGGGAGTCACGGTCTTGTCCTGATCCTCGGGCGGGAGCAGGCAGCCTCCTGACCGATCTGCTCCTGGGGCGGGCGGTGCTTGTCAGCAGTGGGGGTGTGGGGGGACCGGAAGCAGGGGTCTGCTCCGTGTAGGCGAGGCGAGGGAGCCCAGCTGAACTCACCTCTGGCCTCTGGCCACCTGGGGAGGTGGTGGCCCCGAGCAGCCTCGTTTGAGGCGGGAGGGAGGGGAGTTGCTCGGAGTGAGCTGGTGTGTCTGGAGCTCAGGGTGTTCAGCTCCCGCCCGTCCACGCAGGCAGGTGGCCCTGGCTCTGCCGGGAGGCGGTCCTGGGGACACGATGGTGCCTTCGCTGTAGCTCCCGGGAGCCTGCAGCAGAGGGCAGCAAAGCCATTCCTGGTGTTTCTCTGCGGTCGGGCCTGGCTCTCCGTTTGCTCCAGGTCGTGTTAACGCTCATCCGTCCTCCCAGGGTGGTGTCCCCACTTCTCCCTAGGGGCTCTCTGACCGGGGTGATGTGGTGATGCTACACCTCTCTGTCCGATCTCAGCTTCCCGAGTGTCGTTCACACGCTGAGCCCCGGGTGTGCGCGGGGGTCTGGGGTCAGCTTGCCCGGACGAGAGTGGCCTCCTTGGCTGTTCTTTCTCTGCGGTCTGTCGCAAAGCACCCGGTAGGGGGTGTCCGAGACAGGGAGGCGCGTGGAGCCCGCCCCGGGGCAGCGCAGGGCTCGGAGGCGCAGCCTCGCTCTGCACGGGAGGCGTTGCGGATTTTCTCGCCCGCGTGCGCGCGCTGTGGCCCATGGACAGCCCGGCCCGGCCATCTTGGTTCTGAATCTCCTCTCGCAGGACCACGGTTTTCTCTTCCCAAACTCCAAGTGTCGGCCTCTGAGAACCCTTCCCCGCGCGGGCTCCTCTGCTTCTCGGTGGCCGTGGGGGCGGTGCTGGGTGATTCTAAGGTGGTCTCCCGGCCGCGATGGCCTTTCTAAGGGGTCGTGAGGGCAAAACAGGTCCAAAAATCAGGTCGTGTGTGGGTTCAGAGCCGGAGGTGGCTGACGCCAAGCAGAGAGGGCGGGGCTGACCGGTGCGTGGGGGGAGTCGGAGGGTCCAAGACAGAAGCCACAGTGGGTCCTGACGCTTCATCGGGACCGAGTGGACCAGCCAGGCAGCCGGTGCTGGCGCCGGCAGGAGCTGCGGACCCCCATGAGCGGCTGTGGTGTTGCCCCTGGTGTTACCACCTGATCTGGGCAGCATTTCCTCCCCCTTCCTGAGCACCCGCTTATTCCCGGGGAAAGGAGGGGACGTGCTAAGTGATGAGCGGTCTGTTACCTGCAGGTCTGATTGCTCAGACACTGTGACCATCGGCCAGCCAGCGTCATCGTCTAACACCTTCTTCTCAGACTGTGTTTGGTCTTTAAATGAAGCAAGGTCCACCTGCTTGGGCGTCGGCTCACTGGGGCGCTTGGCTGGGAGACGCCTCCGCTCGCGGGGTCACTCCCTTCTGGATGCGCGGCTCTGCTGCTCTAGGGAGGTTCAAGGCCTGCTCTTTCTGCTCTGCCCTCAGGTCACGATGGGGCAGTGGGCAGCGTGTGCTGGAGCCACGACGGCCGCTGGGTGCTGTCTGCCTCCCAGGAGGGGACGCTGCGGGTGTGGTCAGTGTGCAGCCCGGAGCCACTGCTGCGTCTGGTAACGGGGGTACCAGGGCACAGACGGCGGGCGGTCAGGGGCCCCGCCCAGCTTCTCCTGCAGCAGCCGAGGGTTGGGGCCAGGCGGGCAGCACAGTGTGTTTACACGCATACGTGACACGTAAACACGTACGGCACACATGTGCACAAGTGCATACATATGCACATACACACAGTTAAATAAGCCTGACATGTGTATGGTTTGAAAATGGCAGAATAGTAAAATATGGGAATAATTTAAAGATAAAAATAAACGTGATGCTATAGTAGAGGCGATAATAATGCCCACAGGATGCTATGTGGGGGAAGTGTGTTTTGGGGAGAAAGATGCCTTATTTTGGTCAGCTCATGGGAGATCGTTTGGAAACAGAGGGAAGGGGGTCAGGAAGACGGGTAGGGGAGGGACAGGAGACACAGCTCTAAGTCACCAGGCTCCTCGCTGGCAGGAAGCGGTTTCAAGGACGCTGTTAGCACTCATCCTGTGAGTCTGGTTGTAAAAGGGATCTGAGTCCTGGGGCCCTGCTTGAGGGAGGCTGGGCACTCCCAGGTGGGGCCTCGGAGGCCGAGAGGGGAGAGAGGGGTGGCTTTGGGGCCCAGAGTCCTGGTGACTTCTGCACTCTGCACGGGCTGTGCCGTGTCGTCGGAGGAGCAGACACTCAGAACTAGGCTTAAAACACGTGTAGAACTTTGGCGTCAATGGTCAGGTTCCCACTTTTTTTCATTTTAGAGTTTTTAAATGGCCAGAATTCTGAATTTTAGTCATTACAGCAACATTTTAATTATGTAGCATTGTCTAGACAGGAAGAAGAACGGAAGGTTGTACGTTGGTTATACCAAGACGCACTCTGTACATTTATAATAAGTGGATGTTTGTGTTAGGATGAGAGGGTTTCACGTTTACAGCAGTAGAGTTTTTACTGACACATATTTATTAGTGATGATGACTGATTCGCGCTGCAGGGCAAAGACATGTTCCCTAAGCCTGTCCAGTCCGCGCAGTTTTATTATATCGACGCGTTTATCTTCTCATCCTCAGGCCCCGAGGTCCAGCTGCTCAAGCATCACATCGACACCAGCAAGGACGACTTACGGAGGTAGCGCCCCCTGCGGTCGGGGACACGTGTCTCAATCGCGTGTCGGGGGTACATAAAGTAACACGGTCCAGGATGTGATCACACCCTCCTTTGAGCAGAAGTCCCTTCTCCTCACATAGAGCTTCCCTGGGGCCTGGGCCTCGGGGGGCTCACCAGTGGCCGGGACTCAGGAAAGGGGGCCACTACCCTGGTTCTGCAACATGATTAACACGTTCTGTATGTGAGACAGTTACTGTTTATAGTGAGTTAAGGTGTTAAAGAATCAGCCTGCCATTGCAGGAGATAGGAATTCCATCCACGGGCTGGGAAGATTGCCTGGAGAAGGAAATAGCTACCCACTCCAGTGTTCTTGCCGGAAAAACCCCACGGACAGAGGAGCCTGGTGGGCTGCAGTCCATAGGGTAGCAAACGGTCTGATGTGGCTGCGCACGCAGGCATGGCATGTGTTCACACACAGCCACAGATGTGCGTGTGCGGTCTGCTGGGCACCTGCCGGGCACACCTGACGTTGGCAGACACTAATGCTTGGCCGTCTTTGTTTTCAAAGTGTTCAAGAAAATGAAACCTGCAGAGAGAACCAGAGGCCTCCCCTCTGAGCCCCGCCCCTCACTTCCCTTCCTGGGACCCCATCCCTGGCCTGTAGTTGCTGCCCATCAGGTGTCCGTGTGGTTTGATGGGCGGTTCATGTGTGACACACCTTTGATCACGACCATGCTCATGAGCACGGCTGCTCTCTGTGGGTTTACCTGTTGGGATGTGTCAGGTGACAGGAGGCAGCCACAGCTCTTCCTGGTTCCCACATAGAGACACCTTGTTTGTTCCAGTGGGGCCACCCTGAGCATCCCTGCACGCATCTGGCAGTGGGCCTGGTGGGCGTTTCTGGACTCCCTTCTCCAGCCACCCCAGAGGGGGCGTAGGTGGCGCCCAGCAGCATGGTGGTGGGCTCACACATCTCTGAAGGCGGTGCCCGCAGTCCCCCCTGTCCTGCGTCCTGCAGAGTGGGGGCCCATCAGCCAGCTTCCTACCTGTAGCCGACTGCCGCTCACTGTGTTCACACCGCGACGTTGGTGTTTCCATCAGGTCCTGCCCACCACCCTCTTCTGGGTGGCTCTGCCCCACTGCTTGTCACTCTGCAGAACAAGGTGGCTGCTGTAGCTCCAGGCATCACGCCTGTGTTTCTCACGGCAAGATGAAAGGGAGACCTGTTTAGGCCTGCATGCCTCAGGGCCCCAGGAACACCCTGGGTGTTGGGTGGGGCTGGTCTCATGGCCAAGCTGTTTGCCTCTTGTCTTGGCCTCCTCCCACATCCCTCGCCTCTGACCCAGAGTCCCCATGGTGCTGACGGCCTCACCTCGATGGGCACATGCCGGCCTCCAGCACTGGGGACTCCTGCACCCTGGGCAGGTGTGGGGTTGGGTCAGGAACACCTACACCTTATCCGTGAGGCACTCCGGGCCCTCCCCACCGCAGGGGTGTCTGCAGCCCCCTTTACTCACATGATTCTTCTCTCTGAGACCCTTTCCTGGGCTGTCCTGTCCACATTAAGTTGCTCCTATCGCCTCTTTAGCCATCCTGCTGTGTGGCTTTGGGCAGTCTCTCAGCAGGATACACAGGGGTCTATGAAATCTCTGCTGATCATTAAGCTTCATTCCCAAACTTCCCGAGACTTGGCCTGGCTTGTCCCCTGAGTATGTGTGTGGCCTGTTCTCCCGGGACGTGAGGCCTGTCCCTGCACTTCGAGTCACCTCTCCGGGTACCACTCTGTGCCTGTCTCTGTGCATCAGACCCCTGCCCAGCAGTTCCTTCCCTATGGACGGGATGGGCTGACAACCAGTTTCATCCACACCTCAAGTGTCTGAGAGGTTTGGACACTAAGCCCTAATGGCTTTGGCCATTGCCCACCTGTGCATCACTTTGCCAACAAAGGTCTGTCTAGTCAAAGTCATGGTTTTTTAGTCGTCACGTATGGATGTGAGAGTGGACCATAAAGAGGGCAGAGTGCCAAAGAATTGATGCCTTCGAACTGTGGTGCTGGAGGAGACTCCTGAAAGTCCCTTGGGCAGCAAGGAGGTCAAACCAGTCAGTCTTGAGGGGAATCAGCCCTGAATATTTGTTGGAAGGACTGATGCTGACGCCGAAGCTCCAGTATTTTGATCGTCTGATGCAAAGAGCCGACTCATTGGATAAATCTCTAATGCTGGGAAAGATTGAGGGCAGAAGGAGAAGAGAGCATTAGAGGATGAGACGGTTGGATGGCATCACCGATGCAATAAATGTAAATTTGGGCAAAGTTCAGGAGATGGTGAGGGACAGGGAGGCCTGGGGTGCTGAGTCACAAAGAGTCAGGCACGACTGGGCAACTGAACAACAACAGATAACTTGTAGCTCATTGGGTATCTTAAGTATTAGAGTTTCCCTGGTGGCTCAGATTGTAAAGAATCTGCCTGTAATGCAGGAGACCCGGGTTTGATCTGTGGAGTCTTGCTAAGTATACACAGTTATTTTAAAATTAGAAAAATTTGTTTTCTCATAGATAGGGTTGAATTGCACTTGGCTTTATATATAGTAATTTTTTTCATGAAGTTTTGCTAAAGGAAAAGCTAGAGTTACCTAAAGGATAACTTGGATAGTCAACTTGCTATCTAATAAAATTTATTTATTATTATCATTTGTTAATGAAATATTATTGTTAATATTAAGTGACATGAAAACTTTTATTTTCAGGTTTTTGAAGGTAGAATCTTGGGTGTGGCAAAAGGGGAACAAGGGGATTGATCGTCCTCCACCCTCTCGCAGGTATAGACAGAAGAGCTGGTGCACGCCCGTGTGCAGGCTCCTCACGACCGACGTCGTGGAGATCACCAGCTTGTCTGCGGTGAATGATTTCCACTCCTGTATCCTTTCTCCTGCTGTGCGTCCGATGTTTCCACATCCTGACAGTCATCCTTCTGGCAAAGGCTTGTGCTGAGGGTCCAGGCTCCAGGCTCGGGCTGAGCACTCGGACCTCTTGGAGCTCAGAAGCCCTGTGTAACAGCTTCATCTCAATAATGAAAAGAGCCCCGGAGGGAAAGGAAAGGAAGGCCCAGGGAGCCTGTGAGGTAGCGGAGTGACGGGATCTGAGTTTCCTGGTCTGCTCGCTTCTTGAGTGACAGTGATTCAGTGCATTTAAACAGGACGCGGCTACACTTACCATGTGCATCCTTTGATGAACTGAACGGTGTACCCCATTTCATGTGGAAGATGGCAAAGTTACAGCAGTGCTGTTGAACAGCAAATTGATCCCAAAATGTTTTGAGTTTTTGTGGTTGCATCATCATTTTAAATTAAAGAGCATTGACTTTAATTTATTTAGAAACAAAGCTCTGAACTTTAGGGAGTCATCTTATAGACTTATTCAAAGGTCTAAGTTAGATTCTTTTGAAAAGTTTTATTCTTGAAATTTCAGAAGGACTGATACAGGATATTAGAGATTCTAGTTTATTTTAGTTAGAAAGGTAATTTTTTTATGCTAGAACCTTTTGCTAAAAACACAAAAACATTTAGCAGAAATGTGGTGTTCTGGTTATTCTGTCCTTGAGTGCGGATCCCTGAGTATTTTGGCTTTAGTGTTGGGTTTATTATTCGATCTAGTACTTTTTCTAATCTGTACTTTTCTAGCGCATACACATTATTTTTTTTTGCCACACTGGGTGGCAACTGAGAGCTTAGTTCCCTGACCTGAGATTGAACCCGTGACCCCTGCAGTGGAAGCGTGGAGTCTTAACCACTGGTCTGCCAACTTAACCACTGTCCCTCCTGGTCCATGTGGATGAAGCGTCCTTGCCATGTGCTGCATTCAAGGCTTGTCCTCCATGCAAGCAGCCTGACCTGGTACAAGGGGGCACCGTTCACTTCCACGGCCTCCCCGTCTTATCTTTGGCTCAGACCTGTCTTCGAGCTCAGTGCCTACATGTAGGGCAGCCATTCCACCTCTTGATTTGGGTGTTTCCTGGCATCTCAAACCTCGCTTAACTCTCAGTGGACCTATGCCTCCTGTATGGAAATCCACATGCCTGGCCTCCCCATCCTCCCAGCAACTCTGGCCAGGCACCCGGGATCAGGTGGGGAGCGGGTTGTGGTCAGGACTGTCCTGTGGAGCCTCAGGAGATCATAGCTGGTCATCTGTCCGTGCAACCTTCTGCCGAGAGAAGTTCCCTAACAGAACCCCAGACCTCGTGCTCGCTGCTGGGCGGAACCGGACCTTGGAGATTTTCAACCTCAACATGGGCTGCAGTGCGGCCATCATCACGGGAGCCCATTCTCGGCCTGTCTACCAGATCTGTCAGAATAAAGTGAGTGAGCGTCTGACAGCGCACAGCCTTTGTAAACTTTGTGTTTAAGGTGTTTAACAAACTTACGATGCAATCTTACAGCAGTTTGCTGCCAAAAGCAACAGTGATTTTTATTGGTCATGATTTTTATTTACTGTAAGCCTTGATGTTTGATGTTAGAAGGCATTTGGATGCTGTTTCGAATGTGGATGTTTGTACCTTTGTCTTTGATGATTTTGTGGTCCCAGTTTTTTATTTTACCACTTTCAAATGAAAACAGTCCCATTTTCATTTACCACTTGGCGGTGGTTTTGGGCTTTTCCAGTGCTGGGTGGATTCTGCAGGGATGTGAGGCAGCCTTTGTGGATTTGCGGGTCTCTCTGTCGGGTGCAGCTGGTCTGTTTCGATAGAGGAAGAGTTCAAAATAATACACAACTGGGCATTGAAGGTCAGGGACTGAGGAGATGGCCATTCTGATGAGTTCATTGTCTCACAGTTTAGTTCAAAAGATGCTTTGTTGCCCAAAAGAATAACCAAGAGACTTGTGAACAGAACTTTTGTTCTTTTACGGCGGGAATGCGGTTTGAGTTTGGGAACCATGATCTCATGCTGGTTTTTTCAGAATAAGATCTGCCAAGGTGGTGTTCCAGATTAATTATTAGACCTGGTAGAGTTCTGGGCTTTCCAATGAATTTTATAATAGACTCATATATCTTTTCCATTATAAATCTATTATAAATCTTATTTTCTTTTTTTTATGTTCTAATCTTTATTTCTTTCTGGACTCTATCATACAATCATAAAAACTTGATTGAAAGTTGGTATGTTAGAGTTCAGTATAAGGTTTTTCTTCAGTTTGGTTCCCAAAACTGTTTAAGTTGAAAATGCAAAGTATAATTTTGGTGTTTTGATGCTCTTTTACTTACAACATAAAAATAAACCCTTGGCTTTAAAATAATGGTAAAGACAATTCTTTTAAACTTAGCTAACCAGATTTTGTCATATTTTCAGAGAAGTTATTTCCTTTTGAAAAGTAACATGTTGCAGTTTTGACTGATATCTTCCTCTGTTTCCATTTCATAAAAGAAGATATTTTAACCTTCTGCATATAACGCTTTTCTCTGTTATAAGGATTAAATAATATAATGTATATTGATTTCTTAGCATATGCTAAATTCACTAAATGGAAGCTATTTTTTTGTAATTTATTTTTATTAGTTGGAGGCTAATTACTTTACAATATTGTAGTGGTTTTTGCCATACATTGACATGAATCAGCCGTGGATTTACATGTGTTCCCCATCCCGATCCCCGCTCCTGCCTCCCTCCCCATCTGATCCCTCTGGGTCTTCCCAGTGCACCAGCCCTGAACACTTGTCTCATGCATAAATGGAGGCTATTATTAAAAATATAAATTTATGAGGCCTGGTGGACATTACCTTAGGAAACTCTGAATCTTCATATGCAACTAATTTCACACAATTCCTTTGCTCCCATGAGTGTTAAGGAGAAACACATCGAATTTTGCTTCCTGCAGTTGAAAGTCAGGCTGAATTATTACAGAAATGATGTCTGCTTTCAAAGAAACTGCAGACTGGAAGGTGGGAGATGTGGGTGTAACCCTCACTCATACAAATCTGAGTCTTGAAGCTCCATATGGTGTGTTAGTTGCTCAGTCGTGTCCAACTCTTGCGACCCCATGGACTGTAGCCCAACAGGCTCCTCTGTCCCTCGGATTCTCCAGGCAAGAATACTGGAGTAGGTTGCCATTCCGTTCTCCAGGGGGTCTGCCCAACCCAGGGATCGAACCCGGGTCTCTTGCACTGCAGGTGGTTCTTTACCATCTAAGCCACCAGGGAAGTCCACTTAAGCTCTGTAAGGTGAGAGAAGAGAGTGCCCCCCAGTGATGAGAGCAGGATGCTTACGCTGTTCTGGAAGGTCGGAACAGATGGCATTCGGCTGGAGTCGCACGTCCTTCCACGTGGTCAGACAGAACTTGACTTTATGGGGCCTTTGAAGGTGGTAGGAAAGAGAGAAGCAGGTCGACCTGACTCCTGCCTGAGGGTCTGGATGGGTCCCTGGGTCTCAGGTTCCTCTGTTCCCAGACTGATTCGAATATAAAATCCCAGTAGGGGTTAATGCCACGAACACAAACCTCCAGAGGCTGTAGGTGCGAGTCCAGCTCCAGGTCAGCCTGGGCCCCCATCCACTCCTGCCCCTCCAGGAGCCCTGCCCACCCAGCCTGCTGCTAAAACACACCCCCGACTCCACGTCCGGCCTCAGTTCCTCAGGGGCCCCTGACACACACCCCCGGCTCCATGTCCGGCCTTCGGTTCCTCAGGGGCCCCACAGCTTCCGAAACAGAGTCAGCTTTGCAGGCAGCCTCTTGCAGCTGCTCTTGTTCGCTCTGCCTGCTGTCCTCAGGGGGGTGTGGACCCTCTTGTCTCAGGTGAGGGGGTGGGGCATTGGAGGCCAGGGCCACTCTCCTGCACGGGGGCACTGGTGTGGGATGCCCCACGCCAGCGGCACAGACCTGGCGTCACTTCCTCCAGGGGGCTCACCTGCTATCACCAGGGCAGGTGTGTGCAGGTTCCCAGGGCTGAGTGTACCCGGTCATCAGGGCAGATGCGTGCAAGTTCCCAGGGCTGAGTGTACCTGCTCACCAGCGCAGGTGTGTGCAGGTTCCCAGGGCTGAGTGTACCTGGTCACCAGGGCAGGTGCATGCAGGTTCCCAGGGCTGAGTATACCCGGTCACCAGGGCAGGTGCGTGCAGGTTCCCAGGGCTGAGTGTACCTGCTCACCAGGGGCGGGTGCGGCAGTTCCCAGGGCTGAGTGTACCCGGTCACCAGGGCAGGTGTGTGGAGGTTCCTAGGGCTGAGTGTACCTGGTCACCAGGGCAGGTGCGTGCAAGTTCCCAGGGCTGAGTGTACCTTCTCACCAGGGCAGGTGTGTGCAGGTTCTCAGGGCTGAGTGTACCCGGTCACCAGGGGCAGGTGCGTGCAGCTTCCCAGGGCTGAGTGTACCTGCTCACCAGCGCAGGTGTGTGCAGGTTCCCAGGGCTGAGTGTACCTGGTCACCAGGGCAGGTGCATGCAGGTTCCCAGGGCTGAGTATACCCCGTCACCAGGGCAGGTGCGTGCAGGTTCCCAGGGCTGAGTGTACCTGCTCACCAGGGGCGGGTGCGGCAGTTCCCAGGGCTGAGTGTACCCGGTCACCAGGGCAGGTGTGTGGAGGTTCCTAGGGCTGAGTGTACCTGGTCACCAGGGCAGGTGCGTGCAAGTTCCCAGAGCTGAGTGTACCCGGTCACCAGGGCAGGTGTGTGCAGGTTCCCAGTGCTGAGTGTACCCGGTCACCAGGGGCAGGTGCGTGCAGCTTCCCAGGGCTGAGTGTACCTGCTCACCAGGGGCAGGTGTGTGCAGGTTCCCAGGGCTGAGTGTACCCGGTCACCACGGGCCAGTGCAGCAGGTTCTTAGGGCTGAGTGTACCCGGTCACCAGGGGTGGGTACAGCAGTTCCCAGGGCTGAGTGTACCTGCTCACCAGGGGCGGGTGTGGCAGTTCCCAGGGCTGAGTGTACCCGGTCACCAGGGCAGGTGCGTGCAGGTTCCCAGGGCTGAGTGTACCTGCTCACTAGGGGCGGGTGTGGCAGTTCCCAGGGCTGAGTGTACCCGGTCACCAGGGCAGGTGCGTGCAGGTTCCCAGGGCTGAGTGTACCCGGTCACCAGGGGCAGGTGTGGCAGGTTACCAGGGCTGAGTATACCTGCTCACCAGGGGCAGGTGCGTGCAGGTTCCCAGGGCTGAGTGTACCTGGTCACCAGCGCAGGTGTGTGCAGGTTCCCAGGGCTAAGTGTACCTGCTCACCAGGGGCGGGTGTGGCAGTTCCCAGGGCTGAGTGTTCCCGGTCACCAGGGCAGGTGTGTGCAGGTTACCAGGGCTGAGTGTACCCGGTCACCAGGGCAGGTGTGTGCAAGTTCCCAGGGCTGAGTGTACCCAGTCACCAGGGCAGGTGTGTGCAGGTTCCCAGTGCTGAGTGTACCCGGTCACCAGGGGCAGGTGCGGCAGTTTCCAGGGCTGAGTGTACCTGGTCACCAGGGGCAGGTGCGGCAGTTTCCAGGGCTGAGTGTACCTGGTCACCAGGGGCGGGTGCAGTAGGTTCCCAGGGCTGAGTGTACCTGCTCACCAGGGGCAGGTGCTTGCAGGTTCCCAGGGCTGAGTGTACCCAGTCACCAGGGGCGGGTGCGGCAGGTTCCCAGGGCTGAGTATACCTGCTCACCAGGGGCAGGTGCGTGCAGGTTCCCAGGGCTGAGTGTATCCGGTCACCAGGGGCGGGTGCAGCAGTTCCCAGGGCTGAGTGTACCTGCTCACCAGGGGCGGGTGCGGCAGTTCCCAGGGCTGAGTGTACCCGGTCACCAGGGCAGGTGTGTGCAGGTTGCCAGGGCTGAGTGTACCCGGTCATCAGGGCAGGTGCGTGCAGGTTCCCAGGGCTGAGTGTACCTGCTCACCAGGGGCGGGTGTGGCAGTTCCCAGGGCTGAGTGTACCTGCTCACCAGGGGCGGGTGTGGCAGGTTCCCAGGGCTGAGTGTACCCGGTCACCAGGGCAGGTGCGTTCAGATTCCCAGGGCTGAGTGTACCCGGTCACCAGGGCAGGTGCGTGCAGGTTCCCAGGACTGAGTGTACCCGGTCACCAGGGCAGGTGTGTTCAAGTTTCCAGGACTGAGTGTACCCGGTCACCAGGGGCATGTGCGGCAGTTCGCAGGGCTGAGTGTATCCGGTCACCGGGGGCGGGTTCCTCGGGCCTGTGGGGTCGTTGGTCCCAATCACTCTCCCCCAGCCCTCAGCGGAGCTGAGTGCTCTGTGACCCCCAGGCCAGGCCACATGAGGTTCCCCCTCCCCGGGGCCTGGGAGCTGGTCCATCCTGAGCCATCCGCATTTCAGGGTGGGGCGGGGGAAGCAGGGCAGAGCAGTCGGCGCTGTGCAGTCGGATGAGAGGCGTTATGTTGGAAAGGGAGTTCTGAGGGGTTTGA